TTCCATCTAGGGTTCAATTTGGGGTACCCATTTTTGACCCACATGTCTATTCTCCAGGGTGCTTAAGCAAATGGCCATGGGTCAAAATCCCAATCGTACCCCCAGTGAACGTCCCAATCCCCACTAAAATGGGTTCTAGAATGGGTGGTGCACCTACCCCAAAATGGGATCCCAAAACGGTTTTGACAACCACAGCCAAATGAAGGTCAAGGTCCCTCGCCTGCCTAAGTTGCGGTTGCGCCGCAGCTACGCCTCGCGCCGTTTCGCTTGGCTCGAAGGGAGCGAGATGGGAATCGCGGGTCCCTAACACAGCAGTCACCGGCCGGAGTCCCCTCAGGGCGCCTTGTGTGGCGGAATCCTTACGCAAACTTGCGTGGGACCGGCAAGGTTGCTTCACATGCAGTCAGTCCATGGCAGCTAGAGAACGAATCACATAAGACGGTTGATGCAATCAACATGCCTCACAACAGGTGTACGTCTCCCGCATGACACGAAAACCAACACCTTTGCCTGAGACCCATCGCGCACAAAGCCACGACTATCATAAACACAGAGTATCCGATTATCCGCCAGACATTTACTGGTCAAAGCAAAACTGTGTCTTCGGAGAGTAGCCTTGTTCCAGCGTTTGCGGGGCTGTGGGCTTAAGCGGGAGCACGGGATTGATCCTTGCGGCCGATCCGCCGCGGGCAGACTCCATTCCGAGGCGCCAGCGGCGGGAGGGGCAAAACCGCTTCCGGTGCCATGACGGTTTGGGGGTGTCTTGTTGGTAGGGCCCACCAAAAGCGAAAGGACCACCAACAAGGTGATGTTGTTTTTTGGCGGTTTTGCTTGACCAATCGGAAAAAAATCGTACCCCCAAAAATGACACACCCATGTTGACACTTGAGGCAGGCAGTCACACAGAGGATCCACAAAGAGAATCTGAAAGAGACATTCATATACGCGTCCCCCTCTCTCAAAAGAAAAAAGATGGGGAGATTCGCGGCGAAATTGTCCAAATGGGATCCAGGCAGAGATCGGCCTTTTCCGAAAAATGGATTTTACGGTGTTGTTTCTTCGGGGAACCTGGGATTTACTCTCTCTTTTTTTTGGGGGGGGAGACCTTTTCTTGGGGGACGTGATCCGTCGAAAGCTGAGCACTTCGTCCAAGACCAACCAGAGATCTCGGGTCCCAAGGGTTGGCCTTTCAGCCACAATCAAAACCTGGGAAGATGAAGGTTAGTAAGGGGCAGTTATAGCCAAAAAAAGTTGCGGGAAGCCGCCTTTCGATTTCTTGAAGCATGGCTTTGGGTTCACCATTCTTGTACCAGGTTTTGATTGTGACTCTTATACGGGATGCTTGTTGTGCGGGTAGAGCAGAGGCAACGCTTGGTTTTGCCTTTGCTTCCCATCGGAGGTCCTCTCCAGAAGCAGGAGCCGCCTGCGTATTTGTGGGGCATCCGACAAGACTTTCTCTTTTCCAAATCCGCGGACGGGCCGCTTTTCTGAAAGACCCGCAGGTCATTTGCCGCGTTGCAAAGGGGTCCCTACGCGGGGCAGCCTTTCTGTCAACCTTCGGCATCGTGCTTTTTCAGGTCAAGCTGCCTGCTCCCTTTCAAACAATGAGGGTTAAAAAACTTTGAGGCAATGCGAGCACCTGCAGGGATATAACTACTTACCCCTTACAACTCCAAGCCCTGGGGAAGTTAATCTTTTACAGACATATAGCCCATGCCCCCAAAAAGTTGAATGAAAAGTTGTGTTTTTAAGAGGTAAGACTACTACTAGATGGTGGAACGCTCTTGATCATCTTGGGATGACCTCCGTTTCCGGGGTTAAGAAAGGGCAACACCCACATTTCTTCGGTTGAACAACATCCCCACCCCCTCAAAGAAACAACAATCGCTGGTTCCATGTTCCAATGTATTATCTTCACTGTTCTTGGCATGTTTTTTGTTAGGTGCCCTTTCATTTTCGGAGAGGGTGCCCCTAAACTAGACAAACCAGAAAACAAAATCGTTGGTGCCAACTTATTCTAACCTCAAACTACTGGAGGACCTGTGGATGGACGAAATCCTGCACCACTTTGAAATCACGGGAAGCCACTATTTGCTTGGTATTTACGTTGGGGAATCATCAATCCAGGGTGTTTCTTAGGTGGTGCGAAATGGATTTCGCAACCATCCACAGTATGTAGGGGTCGAACGCCTCTTCCGCCTTCTCCAGATGCCGGTGCCCGTGTTCTCCGCTGAAGCGGCGAGGGCCTTTATCCATGCCACGCCGCAGGACACGAATCGCGTGAAGGATTCCTTCCATTGGCTGAAATGAATATATATATATATATATATAACATTTTCCCTTGTTGGTATATAGATATTTATATAAAAAAAAAAAAAAAAAAAAAAAAAAAACTTGCTGGTTTTAAAAGGGAATCTCTCACTACTGTTTTTTGTTATATTTCCAGGGGGGCTTAAGCAAAGGGCAGAAATTCGAGTTCAAGTTGCAAACTACTGTTGGATGGTTGCGAAATCCATTTCGCACCACCTAGCAAGCTCTGGAAGAATTGGATTCCCCTGTAAATACCAACAGCCAATGGTTTCCCATAGTTTCAACGTGGTTCAGGATTTCGTCCATCCACAGTATGGTTAGATCAACAAGAAGACAAATGCCAGCAGTGAAGATTGGATAGCTACCCCCAAAAAAGAAAGTTGGAACTCACCAGCCATATTTGTGGGGCAATCATTTTTTTTAGTTGGAATTGACCCGAAAGAACTATTCAGTAAACAACAGGGCCAATTTACTAACCATACTTGTGGGTTGCAATACCCCAGTTTTTAGGCTAGGAATTGTGAGAGTCCAGCTAGATGTTTGAAGGTTGGTTTGTTCCCTTCAAGAGGCGGGATTTGATGGGCCCAGATTCTAACAATATGGGTGTGGGTCAAAATTAAGCCACCAGGGGACCACAGGTTTTAGTCCTTGTTTCCATTTACCAGGGCAAGCCATTTTGGAGGAGCCTGTTGGTCACAAGGTAGTCGTCGGATCAGTTCGCTGGGCACCCTTAGAGCAAGGAGAGCTGGCATTGTGCGATGGTTTCGGCTGGAATTTGGCAATAGACGGCGACGCAGGTGTCGGAGGTCACCCCATTTTGACATTTGCCCAATTTATCGAAAGAATCGGAGTTAGCAACGTGGGCGTGGGTCAAAATAATACCACCACGGTATGGACCGCTGGTTTTTGTCTTGGTTCCATTTGCCAGGGTTCCGTAGTAGGGTTGCCTGCTTTTGACCCACAGTCAATTCGGACTTGATTTCAAATATCATGGGTACCGTACCCTCCAAATTCGAAACTTAAAAAGGGTTATTGCCTACCCGAAAAGTACTGTTGGTTAACTGCCTCTGTCGCGTCCTGTCTCCATGACACTTTCAAGCTGGTGTCAGGACACCAGCACATTGTGCCAGAATCTGTTTTTTCCCCAACAGCTGAAAGCTTTGGGGTCTCAGCCCAGATAGGCTCCGGGGTGGTCCGGGGCGGCCCTGAGGTGAGGTTCCACGAGGGTTCCACCAGGGTTCCACCAGGGTTCCACCAGGGTTCCACCAGGGTTCCACCAGGGTTCCACCAGGGTTCCACCAGCACCAGGGTTCCACCAGGGCTCCACCGGGGTTCCACGAGGGTTCCGCGAGGTTCTGCGAGGGCTGCGGGGTGGTGCGCGCACTAAAAAGAGCACCGCATGCTGTTGGGGATATCACCTAAGCTTATTTCTCGATTTCTCAAGTTTTATTCGGTTTTGGCCAGAATGCAGCAAAATTAGGTGTGTGCAAAAAACCAACGCTCACAGGGTCCCTTTCTGTTTGTTTAAGGGTCAGGTTAAACTTTAGCGGCAAACAGCTTCTTTATGGCAACACACGTGGCAACCTGCATCTGCTTCAAACGACCTGAGCCAACGAACTTCTATAGGTGTGCATTTTGGTGGTTTTGCTAGAGAAATAGATGGGTTTCGATTCCTGGTTTCCCTGGTGGTTTAGTCATCTACCAACAAAAACCATCTATTTCCCCTAAAAGGACACCTATGCTTCTTTCTGGCTGTTTGGTTGGATCTGGTCGAATCTGCCGTGATGGACCCACAAAAAGTTATTTACCTTTTGCGGAGGGGTCGACAGCAATCATCATGGACAACTGAGGGAGGGCTATGGGGAGGGGGGGGGGTGGTAACTCCCCTATTAACCCCTTAAGGCCTTATTTATCGGGCTCATCAACTTTCTATCAAACCAAAGCGGGTTAGTATAACCATGACTTATCGCGCTCAAGAGCTTCATCCCAATTGGGTCAACCACTGGCCATTCTTTTGATGGCCCTAAATGAACTTCTTTCCAATTCTCAGCAAACCGCTTTTTGATGGGCAAGGAACCTGCAGGTTGCCCCACTAAACCCACTCCCCCAGGGATCGCTTCATCATCCAAATTGGGTGAACCACTTACCATTCTTTTGATGCGAACCCAGGAACCCCTCGACCAAAGATCAACCGGCCAAGGGGCAAGGAACCCCCAGGTTCTTTTGATGCGAACCCAGGAACCGCCAGGTTGATCCACTCGACCAAAAATCTCAGGAGGTGATTCAACCAAATTGCTTAAAGCAACCACTGGCAAGTCTGCGCACCAAATCGACCAAAGATCCACAGGAGGTGAAGTCGGAGCACTCCCGCTTCGCCTCCTCCAAGAAGGACACGGAGTCCGCGTCGGAGGGGCCGCTGGAGGGCAAGGCAGGGCCCCCATCGGATCGATTTCTCGATATTTTTTCGGCTCGGCGCCGGAGAAGGGCGGAGGTGGGATTTGTGGTGTAAAGAGATGGTTTTAGTGGTTTTCTTTGGTGCGAATCGGGTTCCGGAATGGTGTTCAGATGGTTTTAGTTGGTTTTAGAGGTGTGTCCAAACTTGCTCGGCTTTTCGAGTCCAAAGCTCGAGCGGATCACCAAGAGGTGATCGCCGGAAATATGTCTCTGGGTCCTTTCTGTGGAAGGGAAGACATGGTTGTTGTTGGGAAACGTTTTTTTTTCTCCCCATGTTTGCTTATTGTGGCTTAGTGGTTGAAATCCAAATCCACGTAACTGCTAAAATCTAATTTTCTGCTCCCCTTCCAACATCAGCCAAGAAAAGGAAAGGCATCACTCTGGAGCGGTGCTCAGGTGGATAGTATCTTGGGATAAGGAACGGGGGGACGGTAGGTGTGCTCTGGATTTGGGCACTGGATCTGGATTTGGCTCGAAGCATTGACCCGTGGCTTCTTCGATGGTTTTGTTCAAAGCGACATGGAGGACGAAATCCGCGTCCAAAGAAAGGTCCAAAGCTAAATTGATATGTTGCTGCTTTGGTGATGCCGTAGCTTACTTCTGTTGTCCAGGACTGCGAATGGTTCAACACGGTTTATCCGGAAATGTGCCTAAATGTGGTCCATACCCAGCGGGTGTATTCCCAGGGTGTCATACAAAAAGCCCTTAGAGCGATTGTGTTTGGTTCGGTTTCGCGGCGTGTTGCCAGTCTGCCCATCGCAAAGGTTGCGAGAGGCTCTGGAAAGAAATGCAACCCAACATGAGAAATGGTTTGGTGAATTCCAGCTTTGTTTATGGGTACCCCCTACTCAAATCAACTCAAATACCCGGCCTTTTTTCAGGGTATCATGTCGACCCTCCAGTAAAAAAGGAGGTATTTACCATGGAAAACCAGGTTCTCCCAAAAATACCCTGAAAGAAGCGGGTATTTTGAGCACGGGGTAGTTCTTCGGGTCCAGGATGCTTTTACTTGTTTCGGTGACTTGGCCAGCCGAAAAATACCAAAACCGGTGCCTGGCCCTGGGAAGGTGAGGCTGATTGGTTGCTTCAATCACCAGAGCTATGTCCCCCAGTGCCCTTTCACCAACTTTTTGGGGGGGAGGGTTCCCCTACTAAAATAGACAAACCAGAAAAATGTTGGTAGTCTTGTTCGAAGCACCTAGTGGATCACCAGAGCCTCCCATCCTTCTTCTCCACGTCTCGAAGCGGCGAATTCCATTCCTTCGGCTTGGAGTTAAAGGGTCCAAGGGCGAAGGTAGAGCCCTGATCCGCGTGGACAGGAATCGCCTTTTGAGCATATGTGGACCCTCAGACTACCCCCCCTCCCCAAAAAAAACACGGAATTCACCAACCATAGTTTTGGAGTGAATTTTGGGGGCAACCAATGGTTAAGGGAATTTTGAGGATTCATGTAGCCTTGGCGATGTTGTTTCAAAGACAATCGCCTGGAAATCGCTTTGTGAATCCATGTCCGGTTGGGCATTTACTTGTACAGCTCTGCGTGTTCATTCCCCGCAGTGATTCCCGCTATCATGTTTTTCCTGGCTCTGAAAGAACTACCCATCAAAAAGGGAATTCACCCATAATTTTGGGTTGCGAGAACCCATTTTTAAGTTGGAATTGTGAGCTTGCAGGCAGTTGTTCTTCCTCCACTGTGGTTCAGACAACAGAACAATTTGCCGATGGCCCCAAAATCCGGGACCTTTTTCTTGGGGAGGCTCTGTGGCCCTCAGAAAACTGGCGAATGTTTCGGGCATGTTTGTGAGGTGGGTGGGGTGGGGGGGGTCTTGGACTAGTTGTTGCGGTCTTGGCGACTGCAAGCACACTTTGTAGGTTGTTTTTTTCCCCAACAGATGAACGTTGCTGTTGGGGATGCCGGGCCTGGCCATATCTTCTTTCAGCAGCCCTCAGCCGTGCCTTTTGGGCTGGTGAAAGTTGTTCCAAGCCCATGGTTTCTCGAAGTATACACAAGCTTGGATGAACCCCAGGATCTTGTAGAGGATAAATGGGAAACCACCCCTAACCCCTCACCTCCAGACCGCCAAACCAAACCACCCAACAACAATCCACGCTCTCCGCTTTTCCCCGAAGAAATTCTCAGCCGCGCCTCGATAGGTGAAGGGCATCGGCGGCGTCATCGAGATGCTTCGTGCCACACCCGCGAGAATCAAATGGCCCCCCATATAAACTAGGTCCCCCAGCCCCCAGTAGTGCCCTTTTACCCTTTTTTGGGGGAGGGTTCCCCTACTAAAATAGACTACAGGAAAAAAATGGTACCCTTAGTCTAACCTCTCAAATCTGGAGGACCTAGCACAGCCAAAAACTTCCTACGTCGACGACATGACGCAGTTGTTTGGGCAAGTCGATGGTGAGCGTAGTATGGGGTGCCACGTGACCCGTGAGTGATGACTGTTTCTTGGGGACACTAACTTTAGGATTTGGAGAGCTATTTTGAGTCACCCAGACTTTACAACATTTTTTTGTTGCTTTATTTCAGTGGCAGCTGGAACAAACACAAAAGCTTATTTGTCTGAAAAGAAGAAGCAGTTCGACACCCCTTTGATCCAAGATGGTTCCACTGCTTGGGGGGGGGATTTTTGTATGAGTTCACCTGGGTGTGGCTCTCAAGTTTTCAGAGCCACGGACAGGTTTTAGTCGACTTTTCCATCTACCAGGATTCCATTGGGCAACCTATTTTCGAGCCACACACACACACGCACACTTGTGGAGTTTCAATACTCCAACCTGAAACATGTTTTTTGCTGAAAACTATGGTGGGCGGATTCTTTTTTTTTTAAGGGTAGTTTGAGGGTCTAGGTATATATCTCACAACCGCCGATTTTTTTTAAAACCCACATGCTGGGTTTGCTTATGGCAACCCTTTTGAGTGGAGCTACCGGAACCGGCGGGGGGGGGGCAGCCTGGGATGTCGCAAGTCCAGAACTCGGCCTCGTTACGTAAAAGGCGAATCCTCCGGTTCAACTTCGCCTTTTAGCCTTTGGTGTTTAGTCGGGAAACATTTTGGTGTTGTTTCGCCTGACAATTGGTGTTTAAAATGTTTAGTCCGGACAATTGGTGTTGTTGGGACACATTTTGCAACTTGTTGCTTCTCGTGGTTTAGTGGTGCAAATGCTGTTCACAGAAGCCAAGAAGAAGAGATTCCTCCAATGAGGGCTGTCCTCAGATCCGCTAAAAGTTTAACTTTCAGTGGGTTGAATTCGGAAACCACCACTAAACACCAAAAGGCTAAAAGGCTAAAAGGCTAAAAGGCTAAAAGGCTAAGTTGAACCGGATGGCTGGGAGCCACCAAGTAACCTTGGTTGACGTTGGAAGGGGAGCAACAAATTGAATTTTAGCAGTTAAGCGGGGATTTCACAAACCCAGTCATGACTGGTGGCTTGGAGCTTTAGTCTTCAACTTTTTGGGGAAATCTGTGTGTGTGTGTGGTGTTGACCCCGGATTAAAAAGCCCATCCTATCAATGTTTGGGTTTTCCCCCTCCAACAAAGATGATTCCCACTAAACCCAGGGGCACCCCCGCTATGAAGAAGCTGAAATTGCTGCATCTGGGGTCAACGTTAACGGCAAAACGCTATGGGCCTGTTGCTTGTTCCTCATTTTCTTCGGTTAGATGCTCATTTTACTCTACAGGTTCCCCCAGTGGATCCATTTACCTGTATAGCAGGTAGACAAAGAACACCGTTAAACACCAGGAAACATGCTACTTACTATAGTTGCAACTGCGATCCACTGGGATCCTGCACCCTCAAATTCTAACTTCAACATGGGTTCATTCTTGCCAGCAACCCCAAATTATGATTCGTAAATGTCATTAATTGTTTCCCCCTGCTCCAAATACCCTTGTTTTTTTCAGGGTATCATGTCGACCCTCTACTAGAAAATTGGAGGTATTTACCATGGAAAGCCTTTTTCGGCTTTCCAACCAAAAAATACCAACTTTTTAAAACAAAGCGGGAATGAAAAGAGTTGGGGTTATGGCCCATCTGAACTTACCTCTTTAAAACACAACTTTTCAACTTTTTGGGGGTAACATGGGCTATATGTCTGTAAAAGATTAACTTCCCCAGGGCTTGGAGCTTTAAGGGGTAAGTGAAGGAGTTCTTTCGGGTACGCCTCGTCCTTCGAACAGCTCGCTTTTGAGGTGCCAAGTACGGCTGCTCCAAGGGCCAGCGCTTGCAGGTCATAGGCGCGAACGCCACGAGGTCCCCCAGCGGTCGGCGCCAACTTTGTTACCCTAGCTTTCTTGGGTGGGAGGGTTCCACCCTACTAAAGTAGACGTCCAGAAAAAAAAGGTGGGTACCCTTATTCTAACCTCTCAAATCTGGACCCATGGAGAATGGAAGGTGGGCGGCTCGTCTCTTTTTGTGGGTTGCACGCTCCGAAATTGGATTTCGGCGGTCTTACACCCCTTGAAACACCATCCAAGTGGCTGAAACTTACAGAGCTAGGGCGAACCGCAGGTTTTAGTCCTTTCCATTTAGCTTTTGATGCCATGTTGGTTCTTTTGTTTGAGCACGTCAAAGAAGAACCTCCGAAATTGCGTGGGTGGTTTCCCTAAATCGCGGACCCAAGCATCACGAAGCTTGGTTCCCCATCCCGAGGTTTTCAGGTTTTGCAGGTTCGCAGTTTCGACTCAACCACAAGTCGAAGCAAAAGCCCACTGAAACTGACTAAAACCCTCAAACATATCTGGGGCTTCGAGCTTTTAGCGCGCCCAAAAGGAAGCAACTGGCGGATTTTGGGGTTCCCGGGACACGCATGTCGCCTGAGATCCGATCCTGACGACCCTGGGTGAAAAAGGGCCACTGTACCAAGCTAGCTTTCTGGAGATAAAAATCGGAATGATGCGGGGTACTTTTTTTTGGATCAGAAAGGACACCAGCAGGAAAACCCACCATTTTGCACGTGGTTCTCCACCCATGTCAGGCATTAGACTCCTCAGTCCGTTTTTGTTTGAATCCCGTCATTGGGGGGTGATGGGTTGGGGTTATGTTGTCATAAGATGTTTTCTACAGGCCAACCATGGTTAGTCGGAGAACCGAGCTGGGGACCTTTTTTTAGCCTTTTCATCGTTTGGAAAGGGTCACAAACGGACAAGAAGCAGAACTTTAGAACTGCGGGGGGTCCAGGTCTGGTGAAGCTTCTATTGCCTGGACCCTCGAAATGCTCAACTTAAAGACGGAAATTGCTTGCAACCCAAAAACTTGTGGAGGTGAATTCCCTTTTGTTTCTTCTTTTTTGTTTCCTCGTTTTTTTTTTGGGTGGAGTCATTTGGATGTTTTCTACGGGTAATTAGTCCGGGTCCAAAAAGTTGTTGTTTTTTTTTGTGTTTTTTTTTTTTATTATTATTTCTCTGATCATTATTATTATTAAGATTATTATTATATTATTATTACTATTATGAATTGTGGTGGGTGACTTGACTTCCAACTTGCTTTTTTATGGGGTATTTCGGGTGGAGTCATTTGCTTGCAACCCAAACTTGTGGTGAGTGAATTCCCTCGTTTTGATGGGGTCGTTTGTGGGTCCAGGGTGGGTCCTGTGGGGGGAGCACCGCGCACTAGTCGCAGGCGAGACCAACGCGCTGCTGCAGTTCGAGGGGGGCCGGACCGCCCCCAAGAACCACGAAGGCGGCGAGGGACTCTTCGTGTCGGCGGATTTTTTTTCTGGAGAAACCTTGCGATCCGATCGGTGCAGCGATCGGTTCCCTTTCTCACCCCTTTTCGGGGTAGGGTTCTTCTACTAAAATCGACGACTGCAAAAAGTGCGTACCAACTTATTCTGACCTCTCTACTGGAGGACCTAAATCGGTGCTCTAGGGAATGTTCCTTGGTGCGCACCCCCAACAAAAACCATCCAACTAGTTGGGCTTTTCCTTTAAGACCCCTTAGCCTGGGTTGATTCACCTACCTAGACCGATCGCAAGTTGCTCGAAAAACCCCCGTAACCTCCAAATACCCGGCCTTTCCCTTTTTTTCAGTTGGTATCATGTCGACCCTCGACCAAAAAAGGAGGTATCCACCATGGAAAACCCTCAAATACCCGCAAAAAAGCGGGTATTTTGAGTCGGTGGTACCTTGGGGCGAGGAGAGTTCAGATTTGTGAGATCTCCAAAGGGCATCCCCCCCCTCCGAACCATGGGTCGCCGAAGCCTCACGTGAGGCCTGAATGCTGCTCTTGGGTGTCGCTGTCTGTGGGGTGGCAGGGCCATGGCCTCTTTTTTTGTGTGCAACTTAAAGCATTTGTCGACTATATACCGGACCCTCATAATTCCATCGTACAAATGGGAGTTAAATTGCCTGCAACCCACAATTATGTGTTTTTTCATTTTTTTCCCCGAATTCCTCCTTTTTTATGGGTAGTTCTTTCGGGTGGGAGTCATTTGGATGCCTTCTTTCGGGTCCCAGGGAGCCTTTTGTTTGTTTCGGCCAAGAGAAGCACTGGCTCCCGGGGGACCGGGGCTCGATTTCGGAGAGGCACTGGCTGGAAATGGGTCATCAGCTCCGGCGATGCGCGGCGGCCCAGACGGAGAAATGTTCGGGGAGACATCTTCTAGGTCCCCAGCGATCGGTGCCCTTACTCACCCCTGTTTGGTTGGGAGGGTTCCCCTAAATAAACGACTGAAAAAGTGTGTACCAACTTATTCTAGCCTCTCTGCTGGACCTAGTTTCAGACATCTTCGAGGCTGGGAGCGGGTTTTTCTCCCTATTTGGACCCTCGACATCCTGGGTGGTTCCCAGCAAATCGTCCGGTTCCTTAGCTTTTTAGATGTTTTTAGTTGGTCTAGGGGTAGTTTCCAAATTCAACCCACTAAACGTCAAACTTTCTGAGGAGAGCCAGGATTCCATCTTAAACATTTGGAATTACTGCTCGCCCCAAAATTCGGCACTCGAATTGTCCCAGCTTTGTTCTTTGGGTAGTTCTCTGCGGGTTCAGGCACCTCAGCGAATCGGTTGTCGAACGATTCCAGTTTTGGATGCTTCGAAATGGAAACCATGGGGAAATCCTCTTTCTTTGTCTTGGGAAGGGTCCCCTACAAGACACACAGCCTTGTCCTTTGTTTTGGAAGTCTGGAAGTTTGGCAATAGAAGTAGACTTACCCCCTGCTCAAAATACCGCTTTTGTCAGGGTATTTTTGGGAAAACCTGGTGTTCCATGGTAAATACCTCTTTTTTTTAGTAGAGGGTCGACATGATACCCTGAAAAAAAGAGGGTATTTGGAGTAGGGGGTACTTACTACGACTGGAACTGGCTTTGTCAAGAAACATCTGCCCAGCTAGGGCTCCCAACTTAGCCGAAAGGGGCAAGCCCTCTTGGGTCCGCTGGAAACCACAAAACTCGGGGTGTTCAGCAAACGGTCAAACAAATGCGACCATACCTTGGCTCCCCTATCGAAACTAACCGCAGAGTGTTTAAACAGTAGTTGTAACATGCTTTCATTTGCGCTTCAGAATATGTAGTTTTTCTCCAAATCGTTTTAAAGGGAATCTACCCCCTACTCCAAATACCCTCTTTATTCAGGGTATCATGTCGACCCTCTACTAAAACCGGAGGTATTTACCGTGGGAAGACCCAGGTTTTCCGAACACATCCCTAAAAAAGCGGGTATTTTGAGTAGGAATCTACATATGACTACTGGGAAAATACTTGCAGAATATGTGTTTTTTACCCAACTCAAAATTAAAGAGTCAGGGTTACGCAGGTTTTGGTCCTTGTTTCCATTTACCAAGGGACCATTGTAGGTACCCATTTTTTGAGCCACAGCCATACTGTGGATGGCCGAAATCCTGCACCTAAGAAACCCTGGTTTCTGATGATTCCCATACAAATACCCACAAACCATGGTTTCAACCCTGGTTTCTCAGGTGGTGCGAAATCGATTTGGCAACCATCCACAGTATGACAACTGAACATATGCTCTTCTTTTTCCAAGAAAACGGTTCAACGTAGCCCTTCTCCGTGGCGCAAGCTCCGAGGCCAACGCGGGGCAAAAGGACGAGGCGCCAAGCCCCAAACCGAAGCCCCAGACTTCAGCCCAGGGCCGGGGTTCACGTGATACAATTCCCCCCTACTCCAAACACCGGCCTTTTTTGCAGGTGGTATTGTTGGGGGAAAACCGATCGGTTTTCCCACGGTAAATACCTCCGCTTTTAGTGGAGGATCGACATGATACCCTGAAACAAATATGATATTTGGAGTTGGGGGTAATTACTCTAAAAGCAACGCATGGTATTTGGGGTGGGCATATGGAGCTAAAGATGTACCCCCTACTCCAAATACCCGTTCTTTTTTCAGGGTATCATGGCGACCCTCGACTAAAAACCGAGGTATTTACCAAAGAAAACCAGGCTTTCCCGAAAATACCCTGAAAAAAACGGTATTTGGAGTAGGGGGTAAGGCCCTGCCATTACCAACAAGGCACCCTGCGAGAATGTTGCCTGCCCGTCTTGGGATAGAACCTTTCTTCGATGATCGAGGTGCCACAAGGGTTGTTCCCCTTCTCAGTCTTTGTCAATCCTTACAGATTTTGAGGCGGGTGAAGCGATGGTTTCAACTTGCGCCAATTCTCCCCAAGGATTAGCTGGTCCCACAGAAAAATTAGCTCTCGGAGTTCAAGTCCGGTTTGAAGTCGGGAAAAAAACGGAACTCGGAACTCGACCTGACAGGTCTGTTGACCCAGGAGGTTTTGTGGGGACCTTGGAAGGAAGCAGTCTTCTTCTTAAAGCTTCCATCTGCTTACAGAATACGTTCTATTTTCCCTCGTTGGCTTTAAAGGGAATCTATGACTGGTCTATGACTGCTTGACATATATGCTTTTAGGTGGAAGATCAAAGTTGTTGTCTTTCCTTCGTGGGGACTGAGCCGCACTCGACTCCAAATTGGTACCGGGTATGTTGCGGTAACATTTAACACCTTCATTTGCTGTCAAGGTTGACAGGTGCGGTGCACCGTGCCGGTGCCTTAATTCCATGCGCGGCGCTCCCTCGTCATCTTGCGGGGCATCGCATGGGGCGTGTGCGCAATCTGACCGCTGAGGAGGTGCTGACGAAAGCAGAGCTCGCGGCGTGGTTGGAGCACCGCAGCGGCAGCTTCGTGGATGCGCTTAGGCGCCAGGTGGCAGGACGGATGTTCCGGAACTTCCGGCGCGTTGAGCTGCAGGGAGCGGAGAGCCCAGTGGCTATGAGTTGCCAGCTGCGCGCAATGGTCAAACGGCGGAGGTTGTGAGCCTTTTGGAGAGGCCCATTGACCCAGACACTGCACCCAGCCGCTTATTCCGGCTACACATGGAGACAGCGTTGCATCTTGCGGACGGACTTGGCAGGACAGATGTTGTGCGCCGCTTGATGGCAGCTGGCTCTGACCACAAGGCCGACTCGTGGGCAGCTTTGCATTGGGCCGCTGCAGATGGTCATGAACGTATCGTGCGCTGCTTGGTGGAAGCTGGCGCCGACACAAACAAAAAGGTGCTGCTTGGTGGGGTCTGATGCTGACATGGACAAGTCCAATGTTCTTGAAGAAACACCAATGGGTGTTGTCGCCAAACATGGACACGAAGACATCGCGTGCTGCTTGGTGGAGGCTGGCGCTGACATGGACAAGGCCGATAATGCCAGAGCAACGGCCATGCACTTTGCCGTCATGGGTGGGTACAAGGACATCGTGCGGTTGGGGAAGCCGGCGACACGAACAAGGCCAACAGCGGCGGATCTGCTTTGCACCGTGCTGGAGCAAATGGCCACGACATCGTGTGCTGCTTTGTGGAGGCCGACAGCTACGGAGCCTTTGGTGCTTTGGCCGACAGCACGGAGCCTTTGGTGCATTTTGCTTGGATGTTAGGACTTGAACTTGTTGCCAACTAATGGGATTTCATTAAACCACCAAAAGTTAAACTTTTAGCAGGGGAGCAGAAAGCAACCGAGCAGCCACGTGGCCGCCCGCCAGGGTCACGAAGACATTCGGCACATGTTGAAACGGGCGGCGAGCAGGGGCTAATGTTCTCCACGCCTAGTCATGACTAGGTCCCCCGGCTAGCTGCCCTTTCTCTGAAATTTACCCTTTTTTGGTTGGGAGGGTTCCCCTACTCAAATAGACGTCCAGCAAAAAGTTGGTACCAACTTATTCTAAGCTCTCAAATCTGGAGGACTACTGGAGGACCTAGATGAGCAGCTTAGGACCTTTCTCGCTTCATCAAAGTCGCGCGTTTTGAATCCAGGGCTGCGGAAGAGAAGCGGCGCATTCTTTTTTTTGCTCGGCTTCTTGCGGTGGTCAATGTGGCCATGGGTCAAACTCCAAATCGGTTAGCCCCCGGTGAACATCCAACCACTCAATTCGGAAGCCTAAAATGGGCGAATTCGCCTACCAAAATGGGATCCAAAACGGTTTTGGCCCATGGTCATGTGGCTCCATCTTCCTCCAGCCTCCGTGTGGGGCGGTTGATCTTGAGAAGTGCAGGCCCGTTTTTTGTGAACCCCAGCAGTCGCTGCCAATGTTTGTCTATGTGCGAAGTGTTTTCACCTTGCTTTGTGTGTTTTGGTGTTTCGCGAGGTAAGTTGCACAAAACACGAAAAGCACGGTGTAGTTAATTGCCTGACATGGGGAGTGATCTGCTGCTCATCGACGAAACGTGCGGTTCCTTCAGTCGCATCTCGTTCAACATGGGGTCTGTTGGGCTTGAGCCCGGAGCTAGACTTTCCAGGAAACAGAAAACGGGTTCAACCTCATCTCACCTGCCAGCAAATCGACCTGACCTGTTCGCCTGTTTCTTTTCCCTTTGGCCGAGTTTGAGTGGCCCGATGTTCGGTGAGCCTTTGATTCCTGGGTCCGAACTGGGCAACTGAAGAATTCAGCTCGGGGACACCTTGAAGGGCCGGAATTCCGATCTCACTCGCTGGCTCCGGATCCAGGAAAGAAATACCCCTTAAAATTGAAACGCGCCTGGGTGCTTTGCGATGGAAGGTACCCTTTGCTGTGGCTCTTCTTTTTTTGGGAAGCCAAGGGGGCGACAGAGATTTCCATGGGCCGCCCCAAGGCACAAAAGGGTGAGCGCTGGTCGAAATCCATTTTTGCTTATGGTGGTTTAGTGGTTGAAATCCAAATCCACGCAACTGCTCAAAAATATTGTTTGTTTGTTCCCCTTCCAACGTACAAAGGGAAGGAACTGGGTCCCCGAGCTGCCCTTCTACCCTTTTTGGGAGGGTTTATTCCTACTAGACTGCAGAAAGAAGTTGGTACCCTTATTCTAGCCTCTCCAAGTTGGAAGGGCTTGGACCCCAGGGTCCCAGGATTATGCGCTTGAAGTCTTGCGTCTGGCAAGCCAGTGAGACATTGGGAACCATTGTGGAATCACTCGGGGTTTATTCAACCACTGTGATACTTTTGGGAATCTCCCCCTGGGGTGTTAGTCTTTGGGAAGCCCTTTTTGTATCACAGAAGTGATCATTTCCCACAACCCTGTTGGGAACTGAGCAAGCAACCCCAACTTCCCCAACTCCGGCAATTTGGTGAGTTCCCAACTTCCGTCATGGTGGCCCCAACAGTTTGGGGTCAGTCCAACCGATTCCCGGCCTGGCTGTGTTTTGTTGGGACATGAAGAGGACAACCCAAGCCAAAGCCCCCGGAAATTCACGGTTTCCATTACCCCCCCCCCCCCCAGAAAAAAAGAGAAAAACCCCCCCAAAAAAACGTTGTTTTTTTCTTGGTGGCCATTTGAAGCACCCTCCCCCCCCCAAAAAAAAAAAGAAGAGCAAGAACACGCGGGCAATCCCAAAAAAGAAGCCCAAGCTTTCGAGCTGAGCTCCAGCAGCCTTGCACCGCGGCTGCACGCCTCGCTTCGCGCCTCGCTTCGCCTCTGCGGCTTCGCGGCAGGCCACGCGGCAGGCGGAGATGGCGGCGGCGCTGAAGGCCCGGGAGGAGCGCCTGGCCCGGGGGCCCCAGAGATCGGCGTCGTCGTCCTTCGGTCTTCGCTCGGAAGCTCCGGTCTCGAGGCGGAAGTCGGATTTTTTGTGGGTCGGTTTGTTTTTTTCGTGGGGTTTCCGAGTGGGAACAGTTAGTTACCCCAGATCCATGTACCTGCAGGTAACCAAGCAAACCCTTCAAGTAGCACGCTACTTATAGTTGTAACTGCGATCGAGTGGGATCTTGGACCCTCCAAATTCCAGCTAAAAAATTGCAATTGTTGCTTGAACCCAAAATGGGCATTTCCCAAAATACTTACTTCCAAGGTTGGATTTTCCCAGTTGAGTCCCCAGACGAAAGAAGCCATGTTGGGCATGAACTCCAAATGGATTTCGGTGGTCCTTTTGGCAAGCTGACTCAACAAGCTCTTTAAGGTCCGAAAAAGGTGTGTGTGTGTGTGTTCCTTACAATCCCCCCCTTGTCCTTTTGGCGTTCTGTTAAAACCACGCGAGAAAGGGGTACCAACTCCAAAAAAGGACCATGTTCGGTGCAAGTGAAACTCAAAGTGGTTGAAACTCTAAATGGTTGAAGTACCCATAGGTTTCAATTGGTGTCCAACGAGCAACCTGAAGTGCATTTAAAAAGGGAGATCGGAGATCAATCAAGGGACCCTTCCAGGAAATCCCGACGAACAGGAGGCTATGAAGTTCCACTGTCAGTTTAGAATTGGGTTTCTATAGACATTGGGCGTGTAATGGGACGAGACAGTGAGCGGGCAATGAAGTAATAAGCCCATGGTTGAGAATTTCGTTTCAATAGAAATTGGGCGTATAACGGGACTAGACAGTCAGGGAGCAATTAAGTAATAAGCCCATGTTTGAGAATTTTGCTTCTATAGACATTGGGCGTAGAACGGGGACTAGACTGTCAGGGAGGAATTGAGTAATACGCCCATGGTTGAGATGTTTGTTTCTATAGACATTGGGCGTAGAACAGGACTAGACTGTCAGGGGGCAATTAAGTAAGCAAGTCCATGGTTGAGAATTGTGTTTCTATAGACATTGGGCGTAGAACAGGACTAGACAGTTAGGGGGCAAAGAGTAAAAGCCCATGGTTGAAAATGTTGATTCTATTAGACATTGGGCGTAGAACGGGACCAGACAGTCAGGGGGCAATTAAGTAATAAGCCCATGGTTGAGAATGTTGTTGCTATAGACATTGGGCGTAGAACGGGACTAGACAGTTGGGGGGCAAAGAGTAAAAGCCCATGTTTGAGAATTTTGCTTCTATAGACATTGGGCGTAGAACGGGGACTAGACTGTCAGGGAGGAATTGAGTAATACGCCCATGGTTGAGATTTTTGTTTCTATAGACATTGGGCGTAGAACGGGACTAGACAGTCAGGGGGCAAAGAGTAATAAGCCCATGGTTGAAAATTTTGATTCTATAGACATTGGGCGTAGAACGGGACTAGACAGTCAGGGGGCAATTAAGTAATAAGCCCATGGTTGAGAATTTTGTTGCTATAGACATTGGGCGTAGAACGGGACTAGACAGTCAGGGGGCAAAGAGTAATAAGCCCATGGTTGAAAATTTTGATTCTATAGACATTGGGCGTAGAACGGGACTAGACAGTCAGGGGGCAATTAAGTAATAAGCCCATGGTTGAGAATTTTGTTGCTATAGACATTGGGCGTAGAACGGGACTAGACAGTCAGGGGGCAAAGAGTAATAAGCCCATGGTTGAAAATTTTGATTCTATAGACATTGGGCGTAGAACGGGACTAGACAGTCAGGGGGCAATTAAGTAATAAGCCCATGGTTGAGAATTTTGTTGCTATAGACATTGGGCGTAGAACGGGACTAGACAGTCAGGGGGCAAAGAGTAATAAGCCCATGGTTGAAAATTTTGATTCTATAGACATTGGGCGTAGAACGGGACTAGACAGTCAGGGGGCAATTAAGTAATAAGCCCATGGTTGAGAATTTTGTTGCTATAGACATTGGGCGTAGAACGGGACTAGACAGTCAGGGGGCAATTAAGTAATAAGCCCATGGTTGAGAATTTTGTTGCTGTAGACATTGGGCGTAGAACGGGACTAGACAGTCAGGCGGGCAATTAAGTAATTAGCCCATGGTTGATGATAAAGCAATGGCCCATTGTGAGTTCGTTTTTGTGGCCATGCAGTCAGCCGGCCAGCTATTGTTGGGTCGGCTTTCAGCCCACTTAGCCATTCAACCATTCAATCATTTTGGAGGCGATCTGTGGGTAAAATTTACCTGAGAGATTGCCACAGCAAGAGATCGTCTGCAAAAAGATTGCTCAAAGAAGTTGCTTAGAAAGATTGTTCAGAGAAACTGCGAAGAGAGATTGCTCTGAGAGATTGGGCATAGAAATTGCCCAGAGAGATTGCTCGGCAAACAAAATGCTCAGATAAACAAATATATATATATATATACTCCGAGAGATTGCACAGAGACGACATTTGTCTCCAAGAGACTTGGGGTGTTTGCTCAAAAATGTGGACCAGATTGTTCCGGACGACTTGCTTCTGAAGACCTGCCCCAGCAGATTCGCAGGTTTGGGGTTAGAGGCTCAGGTTGCGGTTGATGTGGATGTGGTTGATGTGCTTTTTGCAAAGAGACCTGGGCATGCCAACGCATCAGCAGGCTGTCCCATGGCAGGAACTACAAAGCAATCCAGCTTTCCTTTGCCCGCACTTACAAAGCTCACTGGCAAGTCGGCAAGGAGTAGTGCTGCTCTATCATGATACCATTACCCTCTTATAAATTAACATGGAACCTGTGTTGGGGGATCTCGGAAGACCATTTTCCTTTTGAGGGGCCCCCCTCTCAGCCTGGCCCTTCGGGCCGAAGTGACACTCGATCAGCCCAAGTCGAAAGTGGTGGTGTTGTCAAAGTTGCTTTTGCTGCAACGCCTCTCGTTCATTTGACTCCCAAAATTCGTGGAAGATCGCGGCATGGAATTCCAGCGTGTCTTTTTCGAGGGAGTTCTCCTTCGGGGTTGTTTGCCCGGTTTTTCGGGCACAGGGTTTCGAATGGTGAACCGTGAAGGTTCCCGTTTCTCTCCCAAGGCCGCAAATGCGTGAGTCATTTTCTGGATTTTTCGTGGCCGTCCAAAGACGTTGGACATGTTCGCCCCCTTTCTCCAGGCAGGAATAAGGGGGAGGGGGGATCAAACCTACAAAAGTCTCCATGTATGTTCACCCATTTTCCCTGAGACTATTAAATATGAGATCTAATTTAGATCTCAGGAGCTGTTCCCCACCAACCTCCCCCACCAACCCCTCGGAAAAAGGGGGGGGATCTCCATCTCCTGGCAACTCATTTTCCCTGGGAAGACTCCACTTCCAGCAACCCCTCTCCCCCTCCATAAAAGCGGGAAGACCCAACCCAACCCTTCTTCCCCTTTCTTCATGGTTGTTGGGAACCATGTTACATTTTTGCTTGTTGTGATTTAGTGGTTGAAATCCAAATCCACTGAACTGCTAAAAATTGAGAATGTTTGCCCCCCAAACCCAAGGTCAACCAAGCTTTCCCCATTCCTATAAACTCATTTTCCCTGGCAACCTCTCCCCCCGAGACTCGCGGCCCGTCGCAGAAAAAACATATCGAGGCCCAAGAGGCGAACCAAAAGCCCAAGGGCAAGAGCCGCAAAGCCGAGAAGGAGGCAGGCGCCTACCGTCGACATTTTCTTTGCGGGGTTGGCCAAGATCTTGTGGTTCTTTTTTGTTGATTCCTTTTGTTGGTTCCTTCTTTTTGTTGGTTCCTTTGGTCCCTTTCTTTGGGTTCATTTCTTGCCATCAGTTTGGTTCCTGTTTTTTCTACCGGGAAACCAAAAGGGAACGCCGATGCCGGGAACCTCCCTAGTTCGACACACGTGCCACGTGGGCTGCGAGTCTCCGAGTGAACTTTGAGTGGATTTCCGCGGATCTTTGCTCTCTGCCTAGATCGCCAAGTTGCGTTCTGTTGCTGGTTTTGGGGGGGTAAAGTGCATGGGGAAAAAACAACAGCAACTGGCGATCCAGGTGGGAACCAATGGCAATCTGCACAGATCTGCACGGATCTGACGGATCTGACGGGACCATCTGATTTCAGGTTCCTCAGGTGGCTCGGATTCATGGTTGTTGTTGGGAAGCATTTTGACTTTTTGCTTATTCTGGTTTAGTGGGAAATCTCCGCTTAGCTGCTAAAACTTAAATGTTTGCTCCCCTTCCAACGTCAAACAAGGATTGGTGGTTTGGATGTGAACCCCCCGGAAGCTGAGAGGTCATTCTTGCTGGCGTGCAGAGAGCATCTTCTCACGCCAGAAAGCAAACATAAAATCATAATAATAAATAATAATAATAATACTACTAATAATAATAATAAACATAGCAATGAGGTAGCAAAGGCTTGGCTTTGCTGTTCATCCCCACAAAAAAAAAATATTTCCCTCTCCCCCCCCCCCCATTTTTGAGTTGGTACCTCCTTTTGTTGCTTTGCTTTGGGGAAGCCAACCGGGGGTGGTTTGGGGCAGCTTTCCGGAAGGGTTCAGAAGGGGGGGTCCGGTAGTGCCCTTGTGCACTGTTGCCCCTTTTTTGGGGGTAGGGTTCCTCTACTAAAATAGACTACAGAAAAAAAATCGGGTACCAACTTGTTCTAACCTCTCTACTGGAGGACCTTAGTTGGGGATACCACCTGGGCTTATTGTTGTTGTCTTAGCGCGGAAAGCCGGACATCGCCAATTTTCGGGGGCCTGACAAGACGAGCCACCCTTCTCGCGCAGGCCAGCGGTACGGAGAAGGAGTCCGAGTTGGGCTTTGGCGGGGCTTGCCCTTCCTGAGTTCCTAGTTACTTTAGTCACCTAGGTCTACCTTTTACCCTTTTTTGGGGGAGGGTTCCCCTACTAAAATAGACTACAGAGAAAAAGTTGGTATTCTAACCTCTCTACTGGAGGACCTAGTGACTTTTTGGGTTTGGACACGTTTTGGTGCAAAATCAAAAGTTGAGACGTTTTGTGGCTACTCGGGAAGCGCGATTTTGACGAGGGCTGCTGATTCAGATTGTCATAGCGACTCCCTGCAACTCTAAGCTCCCTCCTCCAAGACCGTGTGCTGGATTTCTCGACCAAATCTTCAGGTGAGCCACGTCCTCAAAACCCGGGTAGATGAAGGTTAGCAAGGGGCACTCCCAACCAGAAATGGTTGCGGCCGCCTTCTTAATCCTTTACATGGTTCTGGGTAGATCGTTTTAATGCCGGGTTTTGATTCTGACTCAGGTACCTCTTAGTGGGTTTGGATTGGTGGGGAGAAGAACCCCTGGCGGGTAAATGGGTGTGGCTCAAAATTAAACCGGAGGGGTTACGTAGGTTTTGGTCCATTCCACTTACAAGGGCAACCCATTTTGGTTACCGGCTTTTTGAGCCACAGCCAAATGGGAAACCACGCCACCAAACTACCGATGGGCGGAAAACCTGAACACATGTCTGGCCAATTCCCCAGCTCATCGACCGTGTGGTTGGCTGCGAGTATCGAGGAGTATACTCCGAGACAATCCCCAGGTAACCTATGATTACGCGCTCCTGGACCCGAAAGAGCTACCCCAAAAAAGGGAGTTCAGCAGCAGCAGCAGCAGCAGCAGCAGCAGCAGCAGAAGACGTCGTCGCCCCCGGCGAGCCAGCATGACGTAGCCAAATAATAAGGAACCGCCATGTTTAAGTTGGAATGTTGAGGGTTCAGGTTTATTTTTGTCGGTGAAAGGCCGGTGCCACATTGGGCCCGGCCTTTTTTGTTCGCAGAGTTGGCGAAACACGCCACGTGTTTTGCAACCCACGAATAGAAGCCTCCAACACGTGCAAACAGTGAAGAATGGGTATATCCTGAAGTAGGGACCCACTCAATGGGGATGTGTCCTTTTATTTGCCCTATGAGACCAAGCTGAAAAGGATGCTCAGGAAGCCTGTCCGGCACTGGCTTCCATCCATTCCAATCCCAAACCGTTCTATGGCCTGGACCGTCTGGCCAAAAAAAAGAAGGGACACTGCGCCAAGGGCGGTGATCCGAAAACACCAAACCGAGAAACAAAGCTTTGTTTCACCCGTGGTTTTGCCAGTTCCTTCCTGTAAACACCGAAGCGTTTGCTCCGGGTTTCCGGTTGCACTGAGTTCCTGAAATGGCCGTGGGTCAAAACCAATGGGATCCCATTTTGGGCTAGGTGCACCACCCATGTTAGTCTATTTCAGTGGGAAATGAATCGGATGTTCTCTGGGGGTACGATTTGGGTTTTGACCCATAGCCAAATCTGTTTCAAGTGAGCTCGAGCCATGAAAGCAACGCATCGGGTTTTTTTTGGTTCCCAGTCGTCCGGTTCCTTCGGTTTGACTGCTATTGGGTTGGATCTCTAGACTTTAACTTTTTGGGAAATCAAGGTGTTTTCCACTAACCTCCCCCAAAAACAAGTTGGACTTTTTGCAGGGGGGTCAACTGCAACCAAGGTTTGTAAGTGTGTTTTTAGTTGGTTTTAGTGGTTGGGTTTTCAAATCTCAACCCACGCTCAGAAAACGGACAGCCAACGGGAGTCCTGAGTCCCCGAGTCAGGACAGCAGCCGGGAGGCCAATGAAGCCTCCGAGGATCGCGGGCAGACGTTGAAGAAAATGCAGCGGTTTTGCGCCTGGGTTCCATGCTCACTTTTATCTGTTGGCATGTCCTTTTTTTTTTGGTTTAGTTTGTTTTGTTTTTGTGTGTGTGTGTGTTTTCCTGCTTTTTTTTCTTGGCATGTCCTTCTTTTGTCTTTTCTTCTTGGCCGGTGTTTGTTTTGTTGTTTGGCTCCATGCCCGTGCCTGGGTTCCATGGCTCTTGGACTTGCCAGGGTTTTGCCCTGCAAGGTTTCTGGTTTGCATGTCCTTTTTGTTGTTGGTATTTTCTTGGCATGGAAAGGCGAACCTTCGCAATTTGAAGGTTCCACTTGGAGGCAGGCCCATGTGAAAGCATGTCGTTTTAGCTTGAACATTGTATGGATGGCCATCAACTCCTCATGGATTTTTGTTCACGACCATTGTGAAGGTTCCCCTCAGTTGTTCAGTCGCACCCATTTTTCTCCCTGTTTTTCTTTTTTTTGCCCCACGAAAAAGGGTGTGGCTCAAAATTAACCAGGAGGAGCAAACCGCAGGTTTTGGTCCATTCCACTTGCCGGGGCAAGCCATGTTGGAATTCCGGTGTTTTGAGCCACAGCCATGGTCCAAGCCCCAAAAGGGTTCCCTTGGGTCACTGAACAACTGAGGCTCACAGAAGGAGACACCAGCAGAGCTGGATTCCGAATCATGTCCGCAAAGGAAGCAAGACCTGCCACGTAGATGTTGTTTTTTCTCCGGATTTTTTTCCGGATTGAGTAGCGTTGCTATTGACAAGTTTTCGAGTTTGCGCCTGATCTCGTATTGCTGGAGCTGCCATCCGAGATTGGTAGTGAGCTACCATTGATGATCAGTTGCTCGAGTGTCCGGTATGCTGGATCTGGTATGCTGGAACTAGCTTCCTCAAGTGGGTGTGGCTCAAAATTAACCAGGAGGGGTTACGCAGGTTTTGGTCCATGTTTCCACTTACCGGGGTTCCATGTTGGCGCCGGTGTTTTGAGCCACAGCCAAGTGATCAAGAGATGTCTGGTCAGGTTGAAAGATGGGGATGGACAGCTGCGTTCTTCTCTGTGAATCCTCTACAATGGCGGCTTTGTCTTAAATCGGGGCACGGGTTCCCTGTGCATTTGCAGACGCCCAAATCTTGGGTATTGAGCCGGTTTAATGGTGGCGTGGTTTCAATGATGGCCAGACAGAAGGCGTGCTCCTGAAAAGTGCTATAGACCCTTGGTACCCGATCTGCGCAAAATTTATCGTTGATTCATGCATCCGAAGACCACCAGAGAGCCGTGCCCTCGGTTTTGTGACACCCAAAGATGAGGGGCGCGTGGGGGGGCGGGGGGGGCGGGGGGGTGGGGGGTTTGGACGGGAAGCCAAGCGACTCGAGGCGCCGCATGTTGACCTGACAAAAGCTCAACCCCAAACCTGGGAGTAAACTATGTCCTTTGATCAACTTTCGTCAGGCCCCAAACAACCCACATAAAATGCAAGATGGACCCTTTGGTGCTCATCATTTAAGGATGTGTCCTTTTCCGAGGCTACCCTTCTTCTTTTTTGTTTGTCTTTATGTGTTGTATTCTTCAGAAAGCCAAACAAATAGACCATTTTCTGGGTCCCTTTAAAGAAGACACGGCCATTTAGGTGGGACTTTTTTTTATGTCCACCACAGGACAGACGAAATGTCGACTCGAAGCGTCCGGCAGGACAAGGCTCAGCCAGATGCGGCGCCCGCGGAGCCTACGCCGCCCGCGCCGGAGCCCGCGCCGCCTGCGCCGGAGCCGGCGCCCCCAGCGCCGGAGCCACCCGCGGAGCCGGCGCCGCCTGCAGAAGCTGTGCCCGACGTGGAAATGGGGCAGCCAGAGGCTCAGGTCGAGAAGAGCCAAGAGAAGGAGGAGGAGAAGGAAAAGAAGGAGAAGAAGGAGAAGAAGGAGAAAAAGGAGAAGAAGGAGAAGGAAGCCAAGGCTGAAAAAGAGAAAGAGAGCGAGAAGAAGAAGGAGAAGGCGAAGGAAAAGGAGAAGGAAAAGGAGAAGGAGAAGCAGAAGGAGAAGGACAAGAAGAAGGATAAGGAGAAACAGAAGGACAAAGACAAGGGAAAGGACAAAGATAAGGATTCGGACAGCTCAAAGGAAGAAGAACAGGACCGCAAAACAGATAAAGAAAAGAAGAAAAAGGAGAAGGAGAAGGAGAAAGAGAAGGAAAAGGAAAAGGATAAGCATAAGGACAAGGACAAGGAGAAGCAGAAGGAGAAAGAGAAGGAGAAAGAGAAGGAGAAAGAGAAGGAGAAAGAGAAGGACAAGGGCAAAGAGAAGAAGGAGAAGGACAAGACTAAGGCTTGGCTTGGGTGACACATCCATGTCTTGATCACTATGGCATTCAACCAGCGGTCCCACCGCTCCCGGCACCATTCATGTGCTGTGCCAGGATAGGGAGAGATCACGCTCCAGAGACAAGGACAAGTCCAAAGAGAAGAAAAAGGACAAGTCAAGGTCAAGATCCAGGCCTCAACTCGACGGATGGACAGAAGTTCCCCGTGAACATCGATGTTTTCAAAGAGCCCCCAGTTTGAGTTCATTCACGCCAGTTGCTGCCAAAAAGTCTTGTGAGACGCCCTTGTCCAGGAGTTCACAGGGAGGTTGGCCACTCTTGAACCTTTGCATTTCGAAGATGATCTTCATTTTCCGGTCTTTTAACCCACGCTTGTTTTTTTTTTGCAAATGGTCAGGGAACCCTCAGTTGGCGGTTTGGTGGTTTGGAGGTTTGTTGGATTTCACCCCCTGGTTCTTGTAGAGGGTAAATGGCAAACTACCGGGCTAACCTTTCTCTCCCCTTTTTTGGTTGGAAGGGTTCCCCTACTAAAATAGACTACAGACAAAAGTGGGTACCCCCTACTCAAAATACCCGTTTTTTTCTGCGTATGTTTGGGAAAACCTGGTTTTTCATGGTAAATACCTCCTTTCTTAGTAGAGGGTCGACAGGATACCCTGGAAAAAGGCCGGGTATTTGGAGCAGGGGGTAGCCTTCTTCTAAGCTCTCCACTGGAGGACATGGAAAATATACTTGGCGGTTCCCGGCCAGCGCCTTGTTTTTGTTGGTTTCTGGTCGGGCTTAGTGGAAAGTTTCCCACTAAACCACAAACAGTTAGGCTGTTCGCAGGGGATCTGGGAACAATAATGTGTATTATACATATAGATATACACATATATATATATACATACACAAATACCTGGACCGTTCCAAATTCCATCGCGAGAGTGAACGTTGACAGCAAGACATGTCTCTTCCGGACATGTGCAGAAGTCAAGTTTGCGGAGGCAATATCATGGTCACTATCAAGGTACTGCGTCCCGAGATAGGACTTGACTTGGGCGATGCGTGAGCTCCCTCCAATGCACAATGCAAAATTCGGGACCTCTCCAGGTGGTGGGTGGTCCTTTTAGTTTCCCTTCAGTTTCTAGGTAGGTGGGTGTCCTCTGTCCAAAGCAAAAAGGGAATGTGGGTGTCCAAGACAGAAATGTGGGTGTTTCTCACAAGGGGAGACCCCTCAGAGTGGTTCTCCTTTCAATTTCCCTTCACAACCAAAAGCGGGTCTGCCTGGGTCTCAGTAGTTGAGTGGCACTAATTAGTTTTTTCCTTTTTTTTTGGTGGCCACTAAAAATGGTCCAAGCCCCAAAAAAGGGTTCCCTTTTAACCGGTGGGGCGGCATGCCCTCACCTGCGCCGTTTGACCGAGGCGCCGCGAGCCGAAAGGGTTCCCTTTTTTTTCCTGGGTCTCTGAACAACTGTAACTGAGGGGCGGTTCTCCTTTGAATGTCCGATGCTTTGAGACCGAGCCATGGCCCGAGAGAAGGTGACAGCCGTGCATCACCGCCTTCAAGGGGCAAATGTACCGCGCCTCATGGTGCACCCCAAATGAAAGAAACACATAAAGAAGCAACTGGGAAGCCATATTTACGTAGATTTACATATATATATATATACACATATATATATATATACATATACATATACATATATATATGTATATATATATTTATATATCGGCATATATATATATATATGTCTCTTTAATGTATACCAGCAAGATATCGTACACCTCCGTACGTGCCACCACTCTTGATTTGCGGGGTCCCTCTTTTTGTGCGGCAGTCATATCACGGAAATCACAACGAACATGCGGACCTTGTGTTCAATGACACCTTTGGCTTGGCAGGTAGCTGTATCTCTCGACGCTTTGGGATCCTTGATGTGTCTCATCTTGAACGGCCTCAATGGACACAATGTTGACCCAGGATTAACAAACCCGTCCAAAAGTGGGGGATGTTCCCTCCCCACTAAAAGGGGATGAACCCCGGATTAATCAACCAGGGGGTTATTAATCCGGGGTTAAGATTACATAGGGACCAGCTCTCAAAGAAAACATCTTGAACATAGGAAAAGTGGGAATTCACCAACCATGTTGGGGCTGGCAAAAAAAAATCAGGTTCTAGCAAAATAGTTTTTGGTTTCCCTTCAAGACTAAAAAGGGGGACCAACACGCCTGGAGCCCCAAACTAGCCATAGCAAAGTGCCAACCATGTTGGGGCTGGCCAAAAATCCAACTTTTCAGCAGGGAACTTTGGGACCAAAGGATCCCTGAAAACACGGCCCATGAACATGTTCCCGGCCGCGAGGTCTAAGGACAAGCGCAAGGAGAAGTCCAGATCCAAGGCGAGGTCGTCGGAGCGAAAAGTTGGTTTCTCTCATGTTAAGTTGGGTTTCTCTAGGGGTTGATTCCTTTTCCATTCTTTTCAACCATCGTTCTTTCCAAAAACTTGATCCGTTTTCCCTGGGTTTCCGCAGGTTTTATGGAAAGAAGGATCCCTGGAAAGAATGGGGAAGGTACCCCTAAAGTTTCACTTCCTGAGGTGGGCTAAATTGTCGCCTTTTGGGTTTGGGTACGCCATTTGAGTCACGATCAAAACCCGGGTAGATGGAAGGTTAGTAAGGGACGATCCCAACCAGAAATAGCTGCGGGAATCTGCCTTCTAAAGTCTTTACGTGGTTCTGGGTAGACCAGTTTAATACCGGGTTTTGATTGTGACTCATGTTAAGTCGGGTTTCACTTCCTGAGGTCGACTAAAACATGTCACCTTTTGGGTTTGGGTACGCCATTTGAGTGGCAAAAAATAGATGTGGTTTTCCGATCCACTCGATCGGAAGTGCGTCGTGGATCCCGCACTTAGGTCCATCAGAATAAGTACCCCGACTCAAAATACCTGCTTCTTTCACTTGGTATCTTTGGGAGAACCTGGTTTGTTTTCCATGGTAAGTACTTTTTTTTTGGTAGAGGATCGACATGATACTAAACCCTAAACCCTGAACCCTGAAAAACAAGAGGGTATTTGGAGGTTGCGGGGGTAAAGTGCAAGGGCAAGCAAAAAGACCTGGGATCCAACGATCCCACTTTAGCTTATTCCATCCACGGGAAGCCACTCTGACGAAAGTTGGGTTCCTGGTTCAATTGTCCTTGAAACATTCGGAGGACATGTTGGCCCCTTATTCCAATTCTACTGGAGGACCTAGCTTCGGTGGCACCACATGTGGAACAAACATCCCGCAGCCTGTCTGAAACGGCATGCCGTGCCTTAAGGCTGGGAAAACAGAGGCCGGCACAGGCGAATCGATGTTGTTTTTTGATCAGCCGAGATCGAACCAGAAAGGCGCATGGAAGTAGACTTTTCCCAGAACTGGTCTCAGTTGTTCAGTGGCACCAATTATTCTTCCCCTTTTTTTTGGTGGCTGCCCCACTAAAATGGTCCAAGCCCCAAAAAGGGTTCCCTTTTTTGTTGCAGGGTCACTGAACAACTGAGATTTGAAACATGCTGCTTTTTCCACACCAAAATATGGGGACACCACCATGGGTCCAAGGGTGATCAAGGGTGTAGGGTAGGAACAACTGAGTAGTCCAAGGCTAAGTTCATCCCAATGCGCCTTTTAGCCTTTTAGCGTTTCGTGGGGATTTCCATTTAACCAAGTCAAACTTTTTGCAGGGCATCTGGGGACAGCCCAGCAAGGATAAGTTCCTCCCAATGAGCATGGATCCTTCCTCAGGAGAAGGACAAGAAGAGGCCAGCCCACTCGTTTCGACCCTTCCGGCCACCAGATGACACACGACTTCCCGTCGCTCCCCCTGCGATCGGTGAAAAAACATCTCTGCCAGCTTTTCTTGGGGGAGGGTTCCCCGTGTCTAAAATAGACGTCCTGAAAAAAGTGGGTACCCAAAAACGGCTAGGTGCCAGCTTTGTCACCGTTTCTTTTTTGGGGAAGGGAGGGTTCCCCGTGTCGAAAATAGACAAAACCGAAAAATAGAAATAAAAATGTACTAACTTATTCTAACCTCTCAAATCTGGAGGACCTAGTGTAACCAGGCACCGCTGGAATTCCATTTTGCTCTGTTGCCACCATTTGCTGCGTATTTTTGAAGTTGGGAATGAAAAGGAAAACAACCATTTTTTGGGGGAAACATTGAGAAGCACTCGGTAAAAATCGTCGAGAGAGCTCTGTTGCTCAGGTTTCCCTTTTGTCGGTTGCATGTCTTCGAACTGAATGGTCGACCCCCTTTTGGGAAAGGGACACCCACAAGCCATGTGTTTTTTCCCAGACTTTGAGAAACGATCTGATCCTGCCGTGGTCGAAGCGGGTTTTGCTCGCGAAAGTCACTCTTGCGACATTTCAGCTTCCCGTTGGAGGTTTGGATTGGCGGTTTGGGGATTGCCATGGAGAAGGTACCCCCCAAAGTGCAAGCTGAAGATTGGGATGTTGGACAGCCCCGGTGGTGAGGTAACCACGCCAAGAACAGGGTAACACCGCCAAAAACAGGGTAACACCGCCTTAAACGGACGGTAAATACGCCGCACGAAATACCTTCATATTCTCCTTTTATTCTCCTTCTATTCTCCTTCTATTCTCCTTCTATTCTCCTTCTATTCTCCTTCTATTCTCCTTCTATTCTCCTTCTATTCTCCTTCTATTCTCCTTCTATTCTCCTTCTATTCTCCTTCTATTCTCCTTCTATTCTCCTTCTATTCTCCTTCTATTCTCCTTCTATTCTCCTTCTATTCTCCTTCTATTCTCCTTCTATTCTCCTTCTATTCTCCTTCTATTCTCCTTCTATTCTCCTTCTATTCTCCTTCTATTCTCCTTGCTCATTCCTGCTTCCTTTTGCTACATTCTCCTTCTATTCTCCTTATTTTGCTCATTCCTGCTTCCTTTTGCTACATTCTCCTTCTATTCTCCTTATTTTGCTCATTCCTGCTTCCTTGCTCATTCCTGCTTCCTTTTGCTATATTCTCCTTCTATTCTCCTTATTTTGCTTCCTTGCTCATTCCTGCTTCCTTTTGCTACATTCTCCTTCTATTCTCCTTATTTTGCTCATTCCTGCTTCCTTGCTCATTCTGCTTCCTTTTGCTAATTCTCCTTCTATTCTCCTTATTTTGCTCATTCCTGCTTCCTTTTGCTACATTCTCCTTCTATTCTCCTTATTTTGCTCATTCCTGCTTCCTTGCTCATTCCTGCTTCCTTTTGCTACATTCTCCTTCTATTCTCCTTATTTTGCTCATTCCTGCTTCCTTGCTCATTCCTGCTTCATTTTGCTACATTCTCCTTCTATTCTCCTTATTTTGCTCATTCCTGCTTCCTTTTGCTACATTCTCCTTCTATTCTCCTTATTTTGCTCATTCCTGCTTCCTTTCCTTGGAGGCCCTCTCCAGCCAAGGCGTGCTCGAAATGCTCACTTTCGGCCTCCAGACCTTGCTTTTTTTAGGTTTCGGCATCCCGTAGTCTTCCGGCAGTCTTCCCGTAGCCTTCGGCAGTCTTCCGTCTTCCCGTAGTCTTCCGACGCTAAAACCAAGAAAATGCAGCGTTTGGAGGCCGAAGACGCTCATTTCGGACCTCTCCGGCCGAGGTGTGCTCGAAATGCTCACTTTCGGCCCCCAGACCTTGCTTTTTTTAGGTTTCTTCCTGCTTCCTTTTGCTACATTCTCCTTCTATTCTCCTTATTTTGCTCATTCCTGCTTCCTTTTGCTACATTCTCTCTATTCTCCTTATTTTGTCATTCCTGCTTCCTTGCTCATTCCTGCTTCCTTTTGCTACATTCTCCTTCTATTCTCTTCCTTGCTCATCCTGCTTTTGCTCATTCTGTACATTCTTCTTCTATTTCTTATTTTGCTCATTCCTGCTTCCTTTTGCTACATTCTCCTTCTATTCTCCTTATTTTGCTCATTCCTGCTTCCTTGCTCATTCCTGCTTCCTTTTGCTACATTCTCCTTCTATTCTCCTTATTTTGCTCATTCCTGCTTCCTTGCTCATTCCTGCTTCCTTTTGCTACATTCTCCTTCTATTCTCCTTATTTTGCTCATTCCTGCTTCCTTGCTCATTCCTGCTTCATTTTGCTACATTCTCCTTCTATTCTCCTTATTTTGCTCATTCCTGCTTCCTTTTGCTACATTCTCCTTCTATTCTCCTTATTTTGCTCATTCCTGCTTCCTTTCCTTGGAGGCCCTCTCCAGCCAAGGCGTGCTCGAAATGCTCACTTTCGGCCTCCAGACCTTGCTTTTTTTAGGTTTCGGCATCCCGTAGTCTTCCGGCAGTCTTCCCGTAGCCTTCGGCAGTCTTCCGTCTTCCCGTAGTCTTCCCACGCTAAAACCAAGAAAATGCAGCGTTTGGAGGCCGAAGACGCTCATTTCGGACCTCTCCGGCCGAGGTGTGCTCGAAATGCTCACTTTCGGCCCCCAGACCTTGCTTTTTTTAGGTTTCTTCCTGCTTCCTTTTGCTACATTCTCCTTCTATTCTCCTTATTTTGCTCATTCCTGCTTCCTTTTGCTACATTCTCCTTCTATTCTCCTTATTTTGCTCATTCCTGCTTCCTTGCTCATTCCTGCTTCCTTTTGCTACATTCTCCTTCTATTCTCCTTATTTTGCTCATTCCTGCTTCCTTGCTCATTCCTGCTTCCTTTTGCTACATTCTCCTTCTATTCTCCTTATTTTGCTCATTCCTGCTTCCTTGCTCATTCCTGCTTCATTTTGCTACATTCTCCTTCTATTCTCCTTATTTTGCTCATTCCTGCTTCCTTTTGCTACATTCTCCTTCTATTCTCCTTATTTTGCTCATTCCTGCTTCCTTTCCTTGGAGGCCCTCTCCAGCCAAGGCGTGCTCGAAATGCTCGCTTTCGGCCTCCAGACCTTGCTTTTTTTAGGTTTCGGCATCCCGTAGTCTTCCGGCAGTCTTCCCGTAGCCTTCGGCAGTCTTCCGTCTTCCCGTAGTCTTCCCGACGCTAAAACCAAGAAAATGCAGCGCTGCGTTTGGAGGCCGAAGACGCTCATTTCGGGCCTCTCCGGCCGAGGTGTGCTCGAAATGCTCACTTTCGGCCTCCAGACCTTGCTTTTTTTAGGTTTCGGCATCCCGTAGTCTTCCGGCAGTCTTCCCGTAGCCTTCGGCAGTCTTCCGTCTTCCCGTAGTCTTCCGACGCTAAAACCAAGAAAATGCAGCGTTTGGAGGCCGAACACGCTCATTTCGGACCTCTCCGGCCGAGGTGTGCTCGAAACGGCCCCCAGACCTTGCTTTTTTTAGGTTTCGGCATCCCGTAGTCTTCCGGCAGTCTTCCCGTAGCCTTCGGCAGTCTTCCCGTAGTCTTCCGACGCTGGCATCCCGTGGTCTTCTGGCAGTCTTCCCGTAGTCTTCGGCAGTCCTCCGTCTTCCCGTAGTCTTCCGACGCTAAAACCAAGAAAATGCAGCGTTTGGAGGCCGAAGACGCTCATTTCGGGCCTCTCCAGCCAAGGTGTGCTCGAAATGCTCACTTTCGGCCCCCAGACCTTGCTTTTTTTAGGTTTCGGCATCCCGTAGTCTTCCGGCAGTCTTCCCGTAGCCTTCGGCAGTCTTCCCGTAGTCTTCCGACGCTGGCATCCCGTAGTCTTCCGGCAGTCTTCCCGCAGTCTTCGGCAGTCTTCCGTCTTCCCGTAGTCTTCCGACGCTAAAACCAAGAAAATGCTGCGTTTGGAGGCCGAAGACGCTCATTTCGGGCCTCTCCGGCCGAGGTGTGCTCGAAATGCTCACTTTCGGCCTCCAGACCTTGCTTTTTTTAGGTTTCGGCATCCCGTAGTCTTCCGGCAGTCTTCCCGTAGCCTTCGGCAGTCTTCCCGTTCTTCCGACGCTAAAACCAAGAACATGCAGCGTTTGGAGGCCGAACACACTCGATAAAGAGAGAGAAGACTAAAGGCCTTCGTGCGAACCAGGAAGGCCCGCTTCTCTGCTCATGTTGCTCGATTCCAAGCAAACGCAGCGGACATGCAACGCAAGGTGTAAAGAACAAACGGCTGGGACACTGGAACCCGCCGCGTTTGTGAGCAAGGAATCATTAGAGCCACTGCCCTCCTTTGCGTGGGGAATGAGTTTTGGGATGGCCTTGCAATGGTATTATAGCCGAAGAAGCCTATATGAAACTTTCTTGTCAGGTTGGAAGAAGCAAAGATTGGTCCCGGGAACTGCTGAAACTGCCTTGGATGTGAACAAAAAAAGCAGGTTCCCCAGTGTAGGACACATCAACATCCTGTTTTGACACGGGCAGACGGCCCATCTTCCTTCCAACTTCGTTCCCCCCTCGGTAGGTGTGTCTGTTTCAAGGGGCCGTGATAAGCATAAGGCCCTTAGCGCCCCTTTTGGGGCTCGAACTGCCTCTTTGGCTTGCCATCAGTGGATTCAAACTTGTCATTGTCCTTTTGCTCAAAGGCTGCTCGCCTCCACCGGCAAATGGAGCCAGTTAGGGTGCAAAGCAAAAAAGCAATGGCCCCTTTGACTATGGCACATGTCACCTTTAAAATAGGGGAATGACACCACATACGGCCTTTGATTAGAAAACGGCAGCTCGGCCAGCCCGCTCATGAGCGCGCCGTCCCCCAGCCAGGCGCGACTTTTTCCTCTTGGTGCTTCTTTGTGGATGGAGTTTCCTCTTTTTCGGCCAGGAATTCTGTAGCACAGTTGCCAAACGTGGGGCCCTTTTCGGGACGAAGCGGACGGACGCATCTTGTGCCGCCTTTGCAGGGGCAACCTCCTCATAGTCTCCTTTTTGATAAGTTTTCGAGCATCTGGGTCTGGCCACTGTATTTGTGAGACAGACCCTTATCGACAGGTTGGTTGCAGAGGTTGCTGGATGTTGCTGGTGCGTGGGAGGCTCTGAGCCCTACGACGATTTACACGACGCCTGCACGGCGCTGAGAACAGGGGCGTGAGAGCGACGGAGCCTTTTGTTTCCAATTTTTGGTCTCCATTTTCAATCTTCGTTCACGTTGCGCTTTCATTTTTGTGAATCCGTGATTTCCAGTTCACCTGAGTGGCTATCCACAAAAAGTGAATTCTCATGCACTCATGTAACTCTCCTTGCGAAGAATCTCCGAGCCGCAGGCTAAAACATCTTAAGGGCAGGTTCTGAGGGTCAAGGGAATTGTGTGTTGTGTGCAGCCGACATGTACATGCCAATGATAATAGAATCGAGGCAAACATCCAATACACTGCTGTGAAACAAAGCAAAAGGGTTCGTACTCCGCGGTCGCATCGAGTCGTGAGACGACGCAGATCATTTACCTTACAACCCCCTTTTACCACGACCACTACTATACGACTTACTGTCGAGGGCATTCAAACCTCAACTGCCCTGTCATTTGACTACGTGGTTGATCCGCCTCCTGGCACTTAGTCTGGGAAGCCAGGAAAACAAACGGGCTTGTCTCTGCATGAAGACACCCCGAAATGAGACCCGAAATGAGTGGTTTCTGGGTTCTTTTGAATCAACGAATTCCACAAGCGGGGTACCCTCAAGGCCCCGTGTGTGTGTGTGTGTGTGTGTGCGTCATGAACTTCAACTGTCTAGTAACAGTCTAGTAACTCTGTGCTTTTTTTTTTGGAACAAGCAAAGTAGCCAATCCCCCATCCCGAGCGAATGAGCGCAATCAGCGCGGTCTCCAAGAAGACTTGCCCCCCCTTGCTCCCCACAGAGGCATGGCTTGGGACCTTCCAGAAGTGAAATTCCATAGCTAAACTCGTGCCAGCCAGCGGCCAGTGTGCCGTTTATGACTTTGGCATACCTACCTAGCCAAATCAAGAAATAATTCGCAGCCCTCTTCTCAACACCCAAGGAGGCAAGGAGGGAGCCACCTTTTGTCGCAAACCCCTTGTTCTGCTCGCAATAAAAACGCCCAAATCCAATCGCCGGGACCTTCGGTGGCCAGGAGCAAAAAAAGGGCTGGCTTCTCTTCAGACAAGAGTTGTTGGGAAACACTGGAGGTCTGGGGCGGTTAAAGCTCATCTATCAAACAGAATGCAAAACAAAACGGCTTTTTCTGTTGAAGGGAAGCCCTTCGTGACCGTGCCGCGCACCCGACTCCAAGACAGGAGCGACGCGAAGAGGACCGGAGTTGGATCGAGCGGGGTCAGCGACGGTCCTTCACTTTTGAGGGCAACTCAGCCCAGCGATCCCAACTTGGCACCCCGTTCGTTATTTTCAGGGATGTCGCAAGCTTGGAAAGATTGAAAGGTGCTGCCAAAGCACAACTTCGGTCGGGGGGGGTCAGCGACGGCCCTTCACTTTTGAGGAAACAGCCCCCAACTAACCGACCAGTTTTTTTGTAATCCGGGGTCAGAGTCGGGTGTTTCCATGTTGGCTACTGGGAGGCTTCCCACAGGTGTTTGCACATGCCAACTTAGACGATAGGGAAACGGCTGGCGCCTAGCAGCGCAATGTGTCTCTATGTGAATCTCCCCTTGCTTCCCTCTCTCCTCCTCCTCTCCCCCCGTTCCTCCCCTCCCTTTCTTTCCCTCCCTCTCCCTTCCCTCTCGCTCGTCCCACGCAACCCCCCCCCTCCCCGCCACCCACCCACCACGCCCACCAACGCATCACCCACGCACCCACCCACACCCACACCCACCCGCAACCCGCCCACTCACCCCCACGCACACCCACCCACACCCGCCCACAGCCCCACCCGCAGCCCCCACCCACCCACCCACCCACCCACCCGCCCACCCGCCCACCCGCCCACCCACCCACCCACACACCCACCCACAACACACCCACCACCCAGCCACCCACACCCCCCGCCCACGCACACCCAACCCCCCCAACCACACCCACCAACATCACCCACCCACCAGGTTTTTTGTTTTGTCGGTGCTTGACTCAGATTCGTTTTGGCCGTATGGCTCAAGTCTGGTGCGCTTTCTGTATTGTGGTATTGATATATATATATATATATAATGTATATATATATATATACACACACACCTAGGTCTTACATTTGGTCACTTTTGGGGCTCTGGGCATTTTTCTTGCTCGTTTCAACGTATGAGCGGAAAAATATGAAATGAGCGGAAATCTTGATATGGCGGGATTAGGAAAGCCGGCGGGAAATCAGCGGAAATCAGCGTTTGCGGACACACACCAGAACAATTTCCCAATTGATTTTTTTCCTGACTGAGGAAATGAGCGTTTTGTTCTCGAACTCGGAAAATATACACCCAAAAGTGTTTATGGAAGACCCAGATTTATACTGTGGGGCACCCCTCCCCAGCCCCCCCTGGAACAGTCAAAACAGTCCTGGGGATCTTGGGAATTTGGCGTGGGGCTTGGGTGACTTGAGTATTGCTTTGGTATTGCCACTACTTAGTTTAGTATTGCCAGCACTTCCTTTTGGATTGCCACTACTTGGTTTAGTATTGCCAGCACTTCCTGTTGGGTTACCACTACTTAGTTTAGAATTGTGAGGAATTTGAGCAACCAAAGATTTGCAGAGTTTCACTACTAGGACTGAGCCAGGAAGCTGAGAGGAGAAATCAGTTGCCCATATTGCAAATTTTGAGTCAGATTTTGTTCAACGGGATTTTTTGGGGTTCGAACTTGACATAAACCGAAACAGTGGGGGGGTCGTGTTCCTTTGGAAACCAAACGCTGCTATTTCTCAAATGGACGCGAATCCAACAAGCCTTACCCCCCCGCGCTTGTTTTGCCACTCACTTGACCCTCATGCAATCATTCAGTTATGTGCAAACATAACATTTTAGCTCAAGGCCCTCTTACTTGTAGATTTGCATTCAGTGCATTCGCAATAGAAAGGAGAGATTGCTGCGAACCCACGCACCCACCCATTCACCACCCCTCCTCCGCTTCTGCTGCAATTTTCTTGTCGATCAACTCAAGACACCTCCATCCTGTTGCTGGCCTTGGGCAATGATCACCAGGGCTTGCGCGCTGAAGGAGAGAGGGGGGAACGCGATCCGCGCAATGAGAACATGACATGAGCGCTGTTCGGATGTGCCCATGTTGCTTCAATCCTTGTGCACAGCGTGACATAGAGCTTGGTCTGCCTCAGGTGGACTGACTAAAATGCGCAAGGCTTGGAGGCACGCAACAAAGAGGAAGTCACGCTTTTCCTCTAAGGCGAGTGCCTTGGACGCGGAGGATTGGAGTCCATGTGCGCGCGCGCGACTTTGCTGATGTCAACGCCACAGAAGGGCCTGCTGGAAGACCAAGAAGTGCCAGGCCCACTTCTTTTGGGTGAGCCAGAAGAACACAAAAGCGCCCTGGGATTGCAGCGCCCATCAGCAACGTTAGGAGGCGGGGCCAAACCCCGGAAGAAAGCACAGCCGCCGGCCCTGGGAGCAAGCACAGGAGCGCGCGCTCTCTGCGAGTGGTGGCGCAGTGATGTTCGGGCCTGGGTCGTGCCAGCAGACCAGACTTGCTACGGAGCAGCGCTCGCAAGACTGCTGTGAGGCGGCAGTAGCGCGGACCACGTGGCGATCTGGTTTCCATGCATAGGTGCTGGAGGCGGAGCCCGTCGAAAGCCTGTCTGACCTGGTGCAGCGCATCGAAGCGGCAGCAGTGAAGCGGCGGCGAGGACATGTGCCACTGTCTACGACAGTCGTGACAGCCTGAAGAGTTGCACGGCCCATCGCGCGGACCGCGCGGTAAGAAGGGCGAGATGCAGAGTCTAGGCCGCGAAAGCAGGTCGCTTTTCGCAACGGAGGAGGGCTGGCAGGAAGCGTGCTTGGACGCAGATGCACGTGCTAGAGGGCGCTACACCCTGCTGTCCCTCCCCACCACCCACCCACTGATGCCCACATCACCCACGCACCCACCCACACCCACAACCAACCAACACCCACACCCACACCCACACCCACACCCACAACACCCACACCCACACCCACACCCACACCCCCACCCACCCACACCCACCCACCCACCCACCCACCCACCCACCCACCCACCCACCCCCCAGCCAATTATTCCCAGCCACCCAGCCACCCCCCCCCCCCGGCCCACGCACCCACCCTCACCCACCACCTCACCCACCACCTCACCCACCCACATCCCCCCCCCCCACCATACCCGCGTCACCGACCCACCAGGTTTTTTGTTTTGTCGGTGCTTGATTCAGACTATCCACTCATGAAGCAAATACGTCTTGGCCGTATGGTGCTTTCTGTATTGTGGTATTGATATATATATATATATATATAGACACACCTAGGTCTTACATTTGGTAATTACACCAACCCTACACCAAGCCAAAACCCATCTAACCCCCACCTAAACCCACCTTAAAGCTACCAAAAACAAAACCTAGTTGTCCCTTGCGGCGTCGCAGTTTTTCGGGCGACGGAAATCGCGCAAGGACAAGGTGGAGAAGGTGAGGTCTGATCGGCTCAAGAAGCCCACGCGGCCCGAGAGGTCGCAGGACAGGGCCTTCGGTCGGGGCTATTATGGACTCCCTTGTTGACACCTTTTTGTGGCTTACGACCCTTGGACTTCTGCGCGCCGTCCGCTAGGGGGGTCCATTGCCGGTCCGCTTGGCTCGCTTCGATTCAGAACGCGCGGCCTTCAAGTGCCAACTTGGGAAACCTCGGGGGGGAGGTCGCGTTTCAGATCCGACTTATGTTGCCTGTTTAAAGGAAAAAGCATGGAGCACAAATTGACATGTGAAAGAAGCATCTTTTTTCCAGGCGAAGCCCATGAGCCCCACAAGGCTTCAAACATTTCACTAGGAGGTTGCCTTGCAAGCGAGGAGCAGAGCTCCCGTCGCTCGGTGCCTTTGGAAACTCAGGACAGAAAGGCAGGGCTCCTTGTGACGGGTTGATGCTTGATTGGGTAATATGACATTGCTTCATTACTTTTGTTTGACGAGCGTTTGACACTACTTCTCTACATTCTTATTGGCACCCCCCCCCCAATGAGAAGTTCCACGTTTGAGGGGGGCCACATCTGGGCGTGTCCTTGTTGAGAGAGCCTTTATTTCGTGGTTTGGGAGGGAGCGCAAGAGGAAACCATGGCGCCATCGACGCCTCATTGTCCTCCCTCACGGGGCGTCAAGTCCCCCGTGCAGGCGCGCGTTTGTCCTGTCAAGGCTCCCCACTCTTGGGCCCTTGCTCAGGTGCGTGTAACGACGCCGAGCACAATCGGGTCCTCGCCGCAGCCGGAGGCGTGCTCCGCACATCGAGGGTCGTTTGGGATGACACCTTGGCGTTTGCTGGCGAAACCTTTGCAGTCTTTGGCGCTTTCCGGGGTGCAGTCGCAAGGTGTAAGACCAATCTGCTCGTGCATGGTAGGCTCATAGCCCAACTCCGGTGTATACTTCGCCGGATGACGAAGAGGACATTGCAGACATTTGCCTTAGGCCCGCATGCTCAGCTTTTGTGCCCCAGGACGAGATACCGCCGGGGCAGCCTTCGCAAGTCTTGGGCCCAGGCATGAGCGAGGCCGACTCAGCGTTTGAGTTTGACTGCTGAGGACAGCCTCCTGCTCGATTTGGATTCGATGTTGCCCGCGCCAAAGGCCCGCTTTTGGACGACTGTTTTTTTTTGACGGGAATCCTTCCTTCCTGCTCATGGGCGCCGCTCGCACAGGAGAATGCGCTGCCAGAACAGGGGCCGAAAAGCAAAGCCAGAAAGCTGAAAGCGACCGGGAAGCCAAAGGCGATCCTGTAGTCTGGCGGGGCGTGATTTTTGCGGGCTTGCTTCCCGTAAGAGAATTTCTGAGGGGGCCGGCTTCAATGGGAACCAGAGGGAAAGATTCGCGACCAGCCTCTCGCTTAGAGCAACCGGCTCACCGCCATTTTTTCGGACCCCCCCCCCCCCCTTCCACTAAAAGGTTTGTCGAGGGAAAACACCCTCGGAGACGCGTGTTTTTTTATGACGAGAATCCTTCCTTCCTGCGTAGTCTTGCTCTTGCCCACTGCACTCGCGCTCTGCGCTCATGGGCGCCGCTCGCACAGGAGAATGCGCTGCCAGAACAGGGGCCGAAAAGCAAAGCCAGAAAGCCGAAAGCGACAGAGAAGCCAAAGGCGATCCTGTAGTTTGGCGGGGTGTGATTTTTGCGGGCTTGCTTCCCGTAAGAGAATTAATGAGGGGGCCGGCCTCAAATGGGAACCAGAGGGGCAAAGGGAATTCGCGACCAGCCTCTCGCTTAGAGCAACAGGCTCACCGCCATTTTTTCGGAGCCCCCCCCGCCTTCCACTAAAAGGTTTGTCGAGGGAAAAGACCCTCGGAGTGGCGTTGCTCGAAGGGAACAACTCAGCCTCTTGAGACGCTCTGCGCCTTTTGGACGATTTTTTATTTTGACGGGAATCCTTCCTTCCTGCGTAGTCTTCCTTTTGCCCAATGCACTCGCGCTCTGCGCTCATGGGCGCCGCTCGCACAGGAGGATGCGCTCCCAGAACAGGGGCCGAAAAGCAAAGCTAGAAAGCTGAAAGCGACAAGGAAGCGAAAGGCGATCCTGTAGTTTGGCGGGGTGTGATTTTTGCGGGCTTGCTTCCCGTAAGAGAATTAATGAGGGGGCCGGCCTCAAATGGGAACCAGAGGGGCAAAGGGAATTCGCGACCAGCCTCTCGCTTAGAGCAACAGGCTCACCGCCATTTTTTCGGAGCCCCCCCCGCCTTCCACTAAAAGGTTTGTCGAGGGAAAAGACCCTCGGAGTGGCGTTGCTCGAAGGGAACAACTCAGCCTCTTGAGACGCTCTGCGCCTTTTGGACGATTTTTTATTTTGACGGGAATCCTTCCTTCCTGCGTAGTCTTCCTTTTGCCCAATGCACTCGCGCTCTGCGCTCATGGGCGCCGCTCGCACAGGAGGATGCGCTCCCAGAACAGGGGCCGAAAAGCAAAGCTAGAAAGCTGAAAGCGACAAGGAAGCGAAAGGCGATCCTGTAGTTTGGCGGGGTGTGATTTTTGCGGGCTTGCTTCCCGTAAGAGAATTAATGAGGGGGCCGGCTTCAAATGGGAACTAGAGGGGCAAAGGGAATTCGCGACTAGCCCCTCGCTCAGAGCAACAGGCTCACCGCCATTTTTTTTTGGAGCCCCCCTCCTCCACTAAAAGGTTTGTTGAAGGGAAAACCCTCTCTGAGTGGCGTTGCTCGAAGGGAACAACTCAGCCTCTTGAGACGCTCCGCGCCTTTTGGACGACTTATTTTTTTCGCGGGAATCCTTGCTTTTATTGAGACTCGTTTCAGGCACTCAATAGCGTCTGCGCATCCTGTGTCTAGGTTGATGCCCCATAGCACAGCTGTTTTTTTACCGGTTTTCTGAAAAGAAGGAATTCTTGAGGCCGGGCGCCCTTGAGGAGCCCCATGTCGTGACGGGAGCCGCATTTGGGTGGCCGCTGTATGAGGGAGATTTCCTATTTGGGGTAAGGCGCGGCTCCTCTTGCTTCAGGGTGCCTCTCGCTTTTTTGCATGTTAGGTAGGAAAGGTTGACGGGCCGCTGTAATCCAAAGCACTCTGAGGCAGTTATTCGGAGTGCTGCCAAAGCAGCGGCAAATTTGACGGAGCTTGTCCCACATCAAGAGGATCATCTTCTGTGGCATCGGGGGTGGCGAATGCAAGGGGTCGCCCAAATAGTTAGTGGAGCCCCATTGATTGGATATCCTAGCCAAGGCCAGAGCAAAGCCGCGGGGACAAGAAGAGGAGGCCCAGGCTGTCGAGGTTGCCGATGGAGAGGAAACGCCTCCAGATCCCGCGGGCCTCAAGGCTTGTGCTGAGGCTGCTGCCATGGGCTTCCGCACCTTGGAGCGGGGTCTGAAGCGCCCTCCGCCGAAATGGATGCAAATGAGCCACAAGGCCGCGTCTAAGGCTTCCTTTAAGGCGCTGGCCAAGGATGTGGTGCGGGATGTGAGCCGTGAGAGGGGCATGGCGGCCCCGCGGCTGAGTGCTACGGCCCACGAGGTCTTACAAGAAGCAGTGGAGGGGGCTATGTCGGCTTTTTTCACCAGGACTCTCCTTGTAGCTTCGCAGGACAAGAGAGACACTGTGCAGGTGAAGGATGTGCGCACGGCCAGAGCTACGCAGACCTATGCGATCGGCCTAGACACTTTGCTGTCTCTGAGCATGGCCAGGTCGCCTGAGGAGCACTACTGCAGCATGGGTCGGGTAGTGGCCGCATGCGCCGATGGCCGCGGCAGCGCAGGTGAGGAGTCACAGGCGCGAAGCTCCCGGGCAGAGCGGCGACTCTCTCGATGGTCTTGCCCTCGCACAGAGTGCTGCTGCATGCGTGTGCCAGACGGCAACGCCGGCGACTGAGATTTGCTATTTCGGCTGTGCGTTTTCTTTGGACCGCCGTCTTTATCTGGCTGTGGAAATGTTCGTCCAGGCGGCCTCGCTTGCCATGGTATGCTTTGCGCACATGTGTGCGCATCATGTCAAATGGTGTGTAGTGTGTGTGTGTGTGTGTGCGGAGGTGAATGAGTATGTCTGGAGGCTGATGGGGGGTAGTCAATGCCAACGGCTGACCAAGGTCCAAACCGAATGCACTGACGCGCAGGACATGGCCGAAGCTCAAGAGGAGTCTCGGGGTGTTTGTGTTCGGCTTTGCGCTTTGCGGGCACTTGTGTCAGCCCAGACTGTCCCAGCAGGATCTGTCTGCCTTGACCGTGAGCGAGCTGAAGGCCCACACGTGGCATGTTTGTCGCTTTGCCCGGCCGCATGTCGGCCAGGCACGGTGCCGAGCTCGAGGCTTGCCAGTGGGCGGCTTGAAGGAGGCGCTGATGGAGCGCGTGCAGCAGGCAGGGTGCGCGCGTTTGACTTGCCAGACATTTGCCGGATTCTGGGGGGGAAAGCAGAGGCGCTACCAGAATAGACCAGGCGCACATCCCTTTAGGTACCTTTTTTGACGAGTGGGCTGATTTGTTTGGACTTCTTTGGGTCGCCACAGTCCCAGCAGACCCCCTTCCCCTTTCCTTAAGACCATCCAACCGCAACAAACGGGGTAAACAGGATTCCCATGTAAAGTGAGCCATAGCGACGCCTTCCCATCGCTCCCACTCAAATGCCAGGCAAAGGCGGCGACTGCGAAGACCTAGGGCTCAAAGGCCGAGCACAGCGTCATGTCAAAAGCGGGCTAGGGACTCCATTGTTTATGTCTCTTCATGGGTTCCTTGCAAAATGGCCGGCGGATATCTATCCAAATGCCTTTATGAGCTGCTTTGCCTCTTTTTGTTGTTATCTTTTTGGCTTGGGGAAGTCGACCCTTCAAGGTCTCAAGCCGTTTGAAGATTGATTGCGGTGTTTTTGGACTGCAAACATGTGTCTTGGGGGATGCGAAGCCGGTCTGGCACGGGAGAGCGCCGGGGGGTACAGGGCCGACTGCTTTTAGAACCGGGTACAGGGCGACCAATTGAAAGGGGAGTGGGGGCTTGCAGCTAATGTGGTTCCCCTAAAGAATGCCATTGTTGTGGTTCAGTGGAGTCTGTGAGGGGTACCCTTGTCCTGACTGTTTGTTTCATGGTTTAAACACGGTTTAATAAAGAGTTTGCAGTTTCAGGGCTGGGGATGGTTTTCAAATTCCAGAGGTTTCAGCTGGCTTTGGGTTTTGTGTTTGAGCAACCATTAAAAGGGGAATGCTTTTAAGCAAGTGGGCCAAGGGGAATGCTTGTAAGTAAGTGGGCCACCAATTAAAAGAGGAATGCTTTTGAGTAAAGCAACTGACAGTTTATTTTCGGAGATTGTTTGGGGGGGATGGTTTTTTTTGAAATTAAAAGTGATTTGTTGGTATATTTTTTGGATTTTTCCCCCGGGGCAAAAAGAACTTTCAGTTATTCTAAACCAGAATAAGGAAAAAATTGAGTTATTCCAGCGCCCCTGATTAATCGGGTGCATTATACGACAAGCAGCAGCCCCATGGACGTCGAAGGCAAAAGGCAAGACCGAGCTCAGCTACCCGATAGATGCTTTCTTTGGCAAAGCCATGGAAGGTGAAAATGTTGAGGAAGCGCCAGCTCGCAAGGCACGCCGCGCCTACAGGGTCGTTGTGACGGAGGAGCGCTTTCCACTTAGTGGAGACGCGCACGAGTTTGCTGTGCGCAAACATGGCCGAGCTTGGGCTCAATCTCAAGGATTGAAGCTTGGGCAGTATAAAACACCTGAAAAAACTGCCTGCGGTGGATTCCGCACATTTGCAAGATGCTCCCAGCACGTGAATTGCGAGCACTGGTATCGCTTCACAGCGCATCGCGAAGAGACGGGGGATGTCCTTGCCGTGGACGAGGCTGGCCATTGCTCAGAGCAGGAGCGCCCTTGCCGAGCCGGGTCCACCCTCACGGTTGCGTTGAGGTCGACCGTGCTGGAGATCGCTGCAAGCCTTTCCAAGAAGCACCCCCGAGGCCAGATCCGGGTCCAGACAACTAGAGGACGATTGGCCCGAAAGCCTTTTTCCCCAGGTGCTCATCCAGACGCGCAGACACCTTTTTACATCGCTGCTGGTATCTCCATGCTGGTAACTCTGTGCAAGCTACTCTGCGCAAGTTGACCAAGAGCTCCTGATATTATCTCCATGCTGGTGACTCTGCGCAAGCTACTCTGCGCAAGTTGACCAAGAGCTCCTGATATTATCTCCACAGCGCAAGCTACTCTGCGCAAGTTGACCAAGAGCTTCTCCATGCTGGTAACTCTGTGCAAGCTACTCTGCGCAAGTTGACCAAGAGCTCCTGATATTATCTCCATGCTGGTGACTCTGCGCAAGCTACTCTGCGCAAGTTGACCAAGAGCTCCACACAGAAGAGCCCTTCGCAATGCTTTCGGGAATAATAGGTTCGATGTTTTAAAAAGTTTCGGGGGCTTCGAAAAGGAATCAGCAGTAAGGTGTTGGAGGGGGCCGTGTTCTTTTGGAACCGTGAACATAAATTTGTTAGCTAGCAGTTCCATCAGGCCGGGTGATGCCTTGTGCCGTGATGCGGGTCCTGGCTGCCAGAGACATCCAGGCTGACATCAAGCAAGTGCGTGCAGTCTTGCGAGCTTGGAGAGGGCAACGCAATGGCATTTGCAAGGCGAGAGAGAGTCGAGCTGACTTTGAAGCGGCCGCCAAAGAGGTGGAGGGTGAGATGTTGCGCTTTGCTGATATCTCACTTGACGGAGATGTGTTCAAATTTGTGTGCTACTTCCCGAGCATGTTCGGCGAGCTGAAGGCCGTGTTTGGGGCCCACAAGGACCAGCAGTGCGGGGCTAAACACGTTTAAACACAAAGAGGTTTAAACAAACGCGTTCAGACATGTTTGCGCAATCGCAGCCGATTCGTTTCAAACGTTTAGACATTGTTCGGGAGGTGCTTGCATGAGAGCGGTGTGGTGTTGCTGCATGTATGAATTGACCTGATGAGGATCCCGTTCCACTGCGCTGCTTGCATATATGCAATCTTCTGCCAAGCTGAGAAGGTTCCCAAGCCATAATATTAAGAGTTCGGACGGGGAAGGGTCTCTGTTTCCGAGCGCCACTTTTCGGAGCCAACATGTACACGATACAAACTGAACGCCGAAAAAGTCAGTGGTCTGTAAAACACAGAACACCCCTCAACCAGGGCCCCTCGTTGCTTTGGTGTTTAGACGGCGGTTTAAACAAGGGGGCGTTTCAACAAGGGGCTTAGACAGGGGTGGGATCAGCTCAGCCCAAGGCCAAGACCGTTTGAAATCGTGTAAATGTTTGGGGTCCAAACGCGTCTGCGCAGGGGCGGGCGTTGAAACCGTTCAAACACTTGAGGGGCCCCACCCTGAGGACCAGACACGCTTGTTCATCAGCGCAGATGCAACTTACAAGGTGGGCCCTGCAGAATACATTTACAGCGTCATCAGCTGCACCGTGTTTCGAAAGATAGAGCAGAGATGGCGAAAGAGTGTGCTTCCGCTGGTTCTGGTATCGAACCCATCTGAAGATGCGGCAACGTATGTGCACGCATACAGAGTTCTACTTGAGCAGTGTGAAGCCTACGGGCTGCCTCGGCCGGCGCAGCTGAGCTGCGATTGGGCTGGCTCCCTCACTGAGGCAGCAAAGGTGGCCCTGCCTCATGTGCGTATGAGCCGGGACATCGAGCATATGGTCAAGAACTTGCGCAAGCATCAGCGCCGCCAGCGCAAAAGAGTTGCCAGGAAGAAGAAGAGGAAGCACGCCAATGCTGCGCGGCGTCAAGCAGCAGCGCAGGCCGCCGAGGCGCAGGATGTGCGTGGGCCAAAGCTGAAAAACCGCAGCATCAACATTGTGAAGGCGTACATCTACGAAACGGCATTTCTGCCAACGAAGGCCATGTTTTCAGTTTTTTGGAACGTGGTCGGGGAGAGAATCAAAGTTCACTGGCAGGACGGAGACTGGTGGCAGTATTTTGCCAGCACCTACTTGGCGCAAACTCCTGTAGATGCAGCATCATATGGGGTGGAGACGCTTACAACAGCGCGTTGGTGGAGAGGTGCCGGCCTTGGGTTCGGTGTTGGGCATGGGCCAACCATGCAGCCCAGAGAGCAATTTAACCGCAAGCTGAAAAGGGATGTGGCGTCCTTGAATGATGACCTCTCTACGCATTCAGCAGTCATTCGCAGCTTGAAGGAAGCAGCTATGGCTTGGTCGCAATCTCCCGTGCAGCCCCTGGTCAATGGGCCGATGACTTTGTTTGCCGCCCGTGGGGATCTCCTGCCTGAGCGCCCAAACTCCCCAGACGCTTGGATGCTTGGCCGAGAGTCAGTGAACATCAGGCGGCCAGGCGGTCATGTTGCGAAGGTTCAGCCAATTGGGGCCATCCTGCGTGCTTGCAAGGCCCGGCGCAAGGTAGCCGTCCGGTTCGAGAAAAGCACGGCCATGAAGTATTGCGCGATGCGGCTGTCGCAGCCTGGGGAAATGAGTGCGGAGACCTGCAAGCAGCTGGTGGCTCAGATCCGGGCGAGGAGGCCAGACCATCTCCAACGCCTCTGGCAAGAACATGGCGTGGTCAGCACAGAGGGAGACGGAGACGGTGCCACTTGCAAAGTGAAATTCGACAAGCTGCAAGCGCTGTGGGCGCAGCATGCGGTGGTAATTCTGAAGGACAGTGACAAAACTTCATCTTGCACGTGCTGGCTGTTTCAACACAAAGGCCATTGTGTCCACGTGTATGCCATGGAGCAGTGGCATGGGTGGCGTGAGTGGCTGCCCACGGAGCTGCCAAGCGCAGCCCATGGCAAGCGGCAGCTGCAGAAGGATGCCAGAGGTTCCTCTGAAGAGCCCGTGGCGCGCAGGAGGTAAATAGATTGCGCAGGGCAAGAAGGGCTCAAACTACCCATGCTTCGTTAGTGTTTTGCTTGTTTCCACTCAGTGTTTTGCTTGTTTCCACTAGGCCCTTTTTGCTTTCGAACCCTTGGGCCCCTGGATCCTTTGACTACCTCGACCCTCGAAAGCTGTGGGCCCTGTTGATTTTCTGTGTGCAGGCAGAAAAGGTGGAAGCTCAACAAAGCAAAGAGGCGCGCCAGGCGAAGAGGCCCGCTTGCCGAGCCGCATGGGAAAAAACAGAGCAGATTTTTTTGTGGTTGATTCAAGAAGAAACCAAGGGCAAACTCAATTTATCCCATTGCGTTTGCACACTTTAGCAGTTTACATTTCTGTTTGGGCGGTCGTCCTGCGCTCGCTTTCTGCTCCCACGAGTCATGGATTACTTAACCCCTCCCCCCCCCTTAAGGGGGGCGTCCCCCAAATTCACCCTCTCACTAAGCTTGCTGAGAATGACTGTTTTTGCGGGATGGTGCATTTTGTCGGTCAGGAAGGAGTTGTATTCTCACAGTGAAGGGGATAAGGGATCTCTTAACATGAGTAGGTGAGCACGCATCAACCACCAATGTCACACAGCTCAAGGTGCCAGTTTGAAGAAACAAGCATGGTTGCGGCTTGAGTCACGTTGAACGGTAGTTTTCTCATACTTGATGGCAACAACTTTCCCGAACAAGGCAAAACTGGTTTTGAGGTGTTACCGAGTGCTAAGTAAGCACTAAGTCGCTATTAAGTTCTTGGTTGTGCCTCAGGGCTCTCTAAGAGGGGGCGGGGAGGGTCAGCAATCCATGAATGAGCGCCGCTCGCGCAGGAGAACGTATTGGAAAACAAGGGCCGAAAAAGAAAAGGTGAGCGCGGTAGCCGAGCCAATCATTTTGATGAAGCCTGCTGGACCAGTCATTCCAGCTTTTTTGTTGCCGGCTGGCCTAGGCCAAGAGGAAGGGGGCGTAACAAGTAAATGGCTGTTGTTGTTTGAACCGAGTTCCCTTAAGTTGGAAAACTGACCGCCCAGTTATGATCCATGACAGTCCGGTTACTTCAGGGACTCCGGTGGGGCAAAGCTAGGGGCCGTTCACAGCTGGTTCATTGGCGGCCCCTCGATTTTATAAAGTCAAGGGTCTTTACGATTCCGTGTTTCTTTGAGCGTGTCGTGGAGCCTCTTTACAGTCAGGTGAGTACGTTTTGCGCCTCTTGCCAACGATTCACGCAGCAATCCGATCTGTTGATCTCTCGGCCTCCCACGTTTAGTGCTTTTCAGGTCATGCTCCCCTAGCTGGGTTTTTTTTTCCGGGCAAACATGCGTGGGACGTCCAGGGCCCCTTAGTAAGAGAGACAGCCGGCCGGCAATCGGGGCCACGTCCAAGCGATTCGCAGGGAGAATCACCGGCGCGTGAAAAAAAAAGACGGTGGACGACGGTGCGCAATCATCACCCCCTAATAATACACGTTCCCCCTAATAGTTTTGCCGAGGTTTAGTAGGCTCATGACAGAAACCAGCATGGGACTATGTTTCTTAAAAGGCTTGGGCGCTTTCCTGCTGGAATGGCCGTAGCCTCCGTAGTCTCTTTCTCTTTCTCTTTCTCTTTCTCTTTCTCTTTCTCTTTCTCTTTCTCTTTCTCTCTGTCTCTCTCTCTCTCTCTCTTTCTTTCTTTCTTTCTCTTTCTCTTTCTCTTTCTCTTGTTCTCTCCTTCTCTCGCTCTCTCTCTCTCTCTTTCTCTTTCTCTTTTTCTTTCGGTTTGTCTCCTTCCCTTTCTCTTTCTCCTTCTGTCTCTTTCTCTCCTTCCCTTTCTCTTTCTCCTTCTGTCTCTTTCTCTCCCTTTTTTGCAAGCCGGAGTTGCGGGAGTGTACTTCGCGTACTACTTTTCTGCTTAAATTTTGCGAAAACCACAGCGAGAGCGATCCGACACGCACAAATCTCCGCAGAGGGTTCGTCGGCGAGCTTTGAAATGCGCACGGCGCCACAGCGAGAGCGATTCGACACGCACAATCTCCGCAGAGGGTTCACGGGCCACGTAAAAAAAGCGCACAGCGCCACAGCGAGAGCGATCCGACACGCACAATCTCCGCAGAGGGTTCGTCCGCGAGCTTTGAAATGCGCACGGCGCCACAGCGAGAGCGATTCGACACACACAATCTCCGAAGCCTGCGGACTACGGGAAGACTGCCGGAAGAAAGGAAAGTGAGCATTTCGAGCACGCCTCGGCCGGAGGGATCGAAATGAGCATGTCGGAAGACTACGGGAAGACTGCCGAAGGCTACGGGAAGACTGCCGGAAGACTACGGGATGCCGAAACCTAAAAAAAGCAAGGTCCGGGGGCCGAAAGTGAGCATTTCGAGCACACCTCGGCTGGAGAGGCCCGAAATGAGCGTCTTCGGCCTCCAAACGCTGCATTTTCTTGGTTTTAGCGTCGGAAGACTACGGGAAGACGGAAGACTGCCGAAGACTACGGGAAGACTGCCGGAAGACCACGGGATGCCGAAACCTAAAAAAAGCAAGGTCTGGGGGCCGAAAGTGAGCATCTCGAGCACGCCTTGGCCGGAGAGGCCCGAAATGAGCGCGTTCGGCCTCCAAGCGCTGCATTTTCTTGGTTTTAGCGTCGGAAGACTGTAGGAAGCCTGCGGGCAGACTACGGGAAGAACTGCCGGAAGAAAGGAAAGTGAGCATTTTGAGCACGCCTCGTCCGGAGAGGATCGAAATGAGCATGTTCGGCCTCATTTTTAGCGTCGGAAGACTACGGGAAGACTGCGGGAAGACTACGGGAAGACTGCCGGAAGACTACGGGATGCCGAAACCTAAAAAAAGCAAGGTCTGGGGCCCGAAAGTGAGCATTTCGAGCACACCTTGGCCGGAGAGGCCCGAAATGAGCGTCTTCGGCCTCCAAACGCTGCATTTTCTTGGTTTTAGCGTCGGAAGACTACGGGAAGACGGAAGACTGCCGAAGACTACGGGAAGACTGCCGGAAGACCACGGGATGCCAGCGTCGGAAGACTACGGGAAGACTGCCGAAAGCTACGGGAAGACTGCCGGAAGACTACGGGATGCCGAAACCTAAAAAAAACAAGGTCTGGGGGCCGAAAGTGAGCATTTCGAGCATGCACACCTCGGCCGGAGAGGTCCGAAATGAGCATCGGCCTCCAAAGGCTGCGGTTTTAGCGTCGGCAAACTACGGGAAGACTGCCGAAGGCTACGGGAAGACTGCCGGAAGACTACGGGATGCCAGCGTCGGAAGACTACGGGAAGACTGCCGAAGGCTACGGGAAGACTGCCGGAAGACTACGGGATGCCGAAACCTAAAAAAAGCAAGGTCCGGGGGCCGAAAGTGAGCATTTCGAGCACACCTCGGCCGGAGAGGCCCGAAATGAGCGTGTTCGGCCTCCAAACGCTGCATTTTCTTGGTTTTAGCGTCGGCAAACTACGGGAAGATTGCCGAAGGCTACGGGAAGACTGCCGGAAGACTACGGGATGCCGAAACCTAAAAAAAGCAAGGTCTGGAGGCCGAAAGTGAGCATTTCGAGCACACCTCGGCCGGAGAGGCCCGAAATGAGCGTCTTCGGCCTCCAAACGCTGCATTTTCTTGGTTTTAGCGTCGGAAGACTACGGGAAGACGCCGAAGACTGGGATGCCAGAAGACTACGGGAAGACTGCGGAAAGACTACGGGATGCCGAAACCTTTCGAGCACACCTCGGCCGGAGAGGCCCGAAATGAGCGTCTTCGGCCTCCAAACGCTGCATTTTCTTGGTTTTAGCGTCGGAAGACTACGGGAAGACGTGAAGACTATTTGCCGGAAGACTAATTCTACGGGAAGACTGCCGGAAGACTACGGGATGCCGAAACCTAAAAAAAGCAAGGTCTGGGGGCCGAAAGTGAGCATTTCGAGCACACCTCGGCCGGAGAGGCCCGAAATGAGCGTCTTCGGCCTCCAAACGCTGCATTTTCTTGGTTTTAGCGTCGGAAGACTACGGGAAGACGGAAGACTGCCGAAGACTACGGGAAGACTGCCGGAAGACCACGGGATGCCAGCGTCGGAAGACTACGGGAAGACTGCCGAAGGCTACGGGAAGACTGCCGGAAGACTACGGGATGCCGAAACCTAAAAAAAGCAAGGTCCGGGGGCCGAAAGTGAGCATTTCGAGCACACCTCGGCCGGAGAGGCCCGAAATGAGCGTGTTCGGCCTCCAAACGCTGCATTTTCTTGGTTTTAGCGTCGGCAAACTACGGGAAGATTGCCGAAGGCTACGGGAAGACTGCCGGAAGACTACGGGATGCCGAAACCTAAAAAAAGCAAGGTCTGGAGGCCGAAAGTGAGCATTTCGAGCACACCTCGGCCGGAGAGGCCCGAAATGAGCGTCTTCGGCCTCCAAACGCTGCATTTTCTTGGTTTTAGCGTCGGAAGACTACGGGAAGACGGAAGACTGCCGAAGACCACGGGAAGACTGCCGGAAGACTACGGGATGCCGAAACCTAAAAAAAGCAAGGTCTGGGGGCCGATTCGAGCACACCTCGGCCGGAGAGGCCCGAAATGAGCGTCTTCGGCCTCCAAACGCTGCATTTTCTTGGTTTTAGCGTCGGAAGACTACGGGAAGACGGAAGACTGCCGAAGACCACGGGAAGACTGCCGGAAGACTGCCGGAAGACTACGGGATGCCGAAACCTAAAAAAAAGCAAGGTCTGGGGGCCGAAAGTGAGCATTTGGAGAGGGCCCAAAAGCAACACACGTTCTTTGGAACCAGGATGTTTGGCGCGTAGTTCGTGCAAAAAGCGGCGTGGTAACTGCTCGTTTTTCGGCGCGGTTACTGGCAATACTTTGCGGCGCGGTTACTGCACGATCTCTTGGACAGCCCGTCTCGACGGGATTCCTAGCCCAACGTCCATGCCCACAGATGTGTCTAGGACCTGACACTCTTATTGAGCTTCATTATTCGTTTGGGAGATGATGGCCCGCAAAAGTGCGGCCACGCAGGTGCATTGTGGGGAGTGTTTGACTTTGCTGCTTTCATGGTTTCTCTCCGTAGGAGCTGCGTGGCCCTACCCAAGAGTTTCAACTCTGCACACTGCTGGCCATGTGGGGCGCACGTTCAGAGGCTTCCGCTGGGGAGAAGATGCTTCCCCTGTGGAATGAGCCTCGCATCTTTCAAGCCAACTCGCCCAAGCTGCCCTTTCTGGGTGAATGACAGCGAGATGCGCTGAAGTGCTCGCTGGGATGCGCCAATCTTGCTTCTGATGTGCAGGGGAGGCCATTTGATGCTAAAAAGGGCTGCCTTCTGCGTGCTTCGGCACTGTTGTGCAGATTACCGCTGTGTGAACGTTGCCCCCCCCTTTGCGGAGTATCCCGGACGTGGTTCTTGCAGTCACATACACTGTGGGTGGAGCCTTCCCCACAATTATCCCTTCAGCTTCAACCTGATTCTTCCGTGTCAATGTGTCTGGTGTTTGCAAAGTGGCTGAGCAAACTCTAAGAGCATCTTCGTAGTGTTAAGCAGGCGCGCCCACCCACCTTCACTGTGCAATGCAACCAAACGAGACCTGTATCCAAGTGAAACAGCTTGACATTTTGGATTTGGACCAATAAGGCAGGTACCAAACAAGCCAGTGGCATTGCATCCCCACGCAGGTGCATTGTAGGGAGTGTTTGACTTTGCTGCTTTCATGTTTTTTTCTCCGTAGGAGCGTGGCCCTACCCAAGAGTTGTACCTCTGCACACTGCTGGCCGAGTGTGGGGCGCACATTCAGAGGCTTCTGGCATGGCGCTGCTTGTAGCATGAAGCTCATCTTTCAGGCCAACTCGCCCAAGCTGCCCTTGCTGAGTGTATGACAGCGAGACAATGCGCTAAAGTGCTCGCTGGGGATGCGCCGTCTCTTGATTCTGCCCCTTACCCCAACCATGGGAAATACCTCCTTTTAGTAGAGAGACGACATCATACCGGAGTAGGGGGTGATGTGCAGGAGAGGCCACCTGATGCAGGCGCGCATCCTGCCCTGG